AAAAAATCCTTTTAAAAAAGTACCTGCATGAGTTACTACTTTCTTAATTTCTCTTCTTTTAAGTATTAGATCAAGTTTTTATACGCAATGAATAAAAAGTCCTGGTACCTATTATAGTGAAAGTCTAGAACTTATAAGGCTGTTCCAATTTAATTATTTGTTTAATGTCCAGACCTTTTTAAAAAATTAAGGGGGAGGGGGAAACAAACTAAATAAATAAACTTAGGAAAATTTGAAAATTTCAGGCAAAATTTAAAGGGAATATTTATCACTATATGTTTATTAACTTTTAAATTTTTTCAAAAATAGAGGGGGTATTTAATAATATGTGTTTATTAGATCTCAAATTTTTTAAAAAATAGAGGGGGGTGGGGGACATTAAACAAAAAATCAAATTGGAACAGCCTAAATAATGTGTCCGCACTAACAACCAATTTCTGACCGGAATTATGATACTCGGCCGGCATTAAGAAATCAAGCATAACGGATTTTCACGTGATCTCTGTCACATTGACAATTATGATTTAATAATCCGTCCGATTGGGTTACACCTATTAAATACAAAAGTTTGGTTCATTTTGTTAAATGAACTCTTCCTTTCTTCTAAAATGACCTATTTTAAAATATCAGCATTTGTTATTTTCGGTCTTCCAAAAATTGTCAAAATTTTCAGAGAGTTTAATATTAAAAAATACGCTCTAGGAACAGACTTTAAACGTATCATATTGAAGCCGAAGTTACAATTACTTTTCTTGGTTCTAGGAATATTAGTTTATCGTCATTCCATTAGTCGTTTCATTGGTCATTTTATTATGGAGCATCAGAAGACTATTAAGGACGAAATGCATGAAAATCAACAAAAGGATTTTGGTGGGAAATTTATAATAACAATACATATGAGTTGTTTCAAACATTTCTTGTCTCATCTTGACATCTTTACATATTTTTTTTTCCTTATTAAAACAAGCAGATGAATACGATGAAGATCTAGAAGAATATGATCTAGGCCCTGACGACGTCAAAATACGACCCCAGTATAGATTATTATGACCTTGCATGGAAGGAATATTACGAGGATCATAAGGGAGAACCGTTTGCTGAATCTGCGAAAAGATTTCTTGAATCACTTGATTCGAAAAAATGATGATGATTAATTCAGTTTATTTTAATGGGAAATTCATAAACAAAATGTAATTAGCTTGAACCCCTTTTATAGCAGTAATAAAAACCATAATATTATGTTTTTACTACAACAATTATCACGAAAAAAGTATACTAGATTCTTAATTAAAAAAATACTGTAATTACTCTCAAATTAATCATATGAGATTGTTAAAGATGTAAAACAATTGATTGAATCATATAATGAGATTTATTTTATTAATTACAATAAACATAATATTGAGCTACTAGTTATTTAAATAGTTCGAAGTGCGGAATATAGAACATCTTTTTTTTCAACATAGATGTACGCGTCTCCGCCTGTTGCCTCACGAAAACGTTCAAGAACATCATCATACGTTTTCTTATTTTTTACCCCATCCTTCCTACCATTCTTAACTTTTTCGATATCCCACTTCTTTTTGTGGGAAATTGAATTTCGCATACGTCTGTAGGCCATCATTTCTCCTACCTCTTCTATAGTTGGATTACCAATTCTCTTAATCACCATATCAAGACGATTTTTTATGCCGATATTACCTTCTTTTTCCTTTTTTATCGCGTCAATATAGAGATAAATGAATACATAATATTTACTTTCAGGTCTGAGAGATCGATTATATAATTTCAAGGCTTCGACCTGCCACATTCCCATAATGTGGCATATGACATCGATACAGTCTCTCGCGTCTTCTCCACGACATTTATCTTTATCGCCTTTAATAATTAATGTTAGAACTAACAAGGATAATTAATTCTATTCATATCAAAAGCTTACTTACTTTGAAGGATAACGAGATCATTATTCTCTAATCTCTACATGAGAATTTTCTTTAATGTTATAAATTCGTTGAATTCTATTGATAGACTTTATTGAATCTATTACTTGATAACAGTACCGGCTTTTTCCAAGATAGTAGACATTTTCTTTTATTGTATTACTGTAAATTTGCAAAACACAAAATATTACAAGATAAAATATTACGTGATGGGATATCTCTTCACTGTTACGTAGAATAATGTACTAGAAGATTACTAATCAATGTATCAAAAATATTAATTTTTAATACTTTTTTTTATAAAAAAAAACTCGAGCCATCTAGTTTACTATAGTAGCTTGTAACGTCAAATGAATCATTTTATTAATTAAAGAAAAATCAGTCTAATGCATCAGATAAAATAAGTTGATTAAAATAAAAAAAAATAAGTCTGTAATTAATTATTTTTCCGTGTATTACTAAGCCATCTAGCTAACTATAGTAGCGTGTAACTATTAATATTTTTTTAAATCTCATCAAAAATACTTCTAAAGCGTATCTTGAGATCCTTTTAAGTTAGCGTGAAAAAATAAATCATGTCCGAAAAAATTAAAATAAATTACATACAGTTACAGTATATTCACGACAAAACTTTTTTTCACATCAGGCTTAATTGCATAAAATAAAACAATCGTCATGACTTTATCTCATTGTTTAGGAAAAAAAGCAGGAGTTCTGCAAGCTCTGAATAATATTTTCCCATAATTGTTCCTAATCTTCGATGTATTCACGTTGCATCTTGTTGAACTTTAATTTATTGTGATGTTGACAAAACATAATCTGACAAGAATTTTGTTCCACAAATATTCTATAATACACTTCACTAATAATCAAAATATATCAAATAATAAAGAGGTCAAATAAAATTTTATTGCTACATAAATAATACAAAAATCAAAGATAAATTAAAAATAAATAATGGAATAATAGATAAATCATTTGAATTTAAAATATACAGCAGTGTTTTGCATATTTCGTATTACCGATTTAATACTAGAAAAGTAAATAAAATTAGAAAGTTTTCGCAATTGTTCATATGATATAAATTTTTATGTGAGATTTTCCCATGAAGATTGTAATGCCGATGAAATGATTGCTAATCAGATTTAGTTTTGTTCATCATTATAATTTTTACAACTATTATTTACATCATCATTTTTCTTCTATTTCAGCAATATTCAGTTCATCTCTTTTCATAAAATAATTTAGCCTAACTTTTGCTTGTACCCACAACTATTATAACATCTTATAAATATTAAAATCTTTTGCATAAGTAATTCACAAATTTTACTCATGTAAAATACGTAAAATAGATCTGACGAGAAACTGGAGGGAGAAAGCTACTCTCCATCATGAGATTCACGAATCATCAGAAATAATTATTGAAGAAAAAAATGGACAATAACAGATCCACTAATATATACAAAGTATGTACATGTACAACTAAAAATATTATAAAAAGACCCTATGTTTTAATTAATTAATTTTACAATCTATTTATTTAATTTAAACTTTCAATTTCTTTCCCTCATCATCCATTTTGTAGTTAAATGGGCAAATGCAGAGTTTTTTCCATGTAAAAATAATATATATAATATGAGGTTAACAATGGAAATGAAGAATCCTTAGACTGGTTAAATGGTTAAATGGAATAAACAAACTTCGCTCAAAAGCGAGCGGTAAACTATGTGCTTTTATAGGGTAGTGCAACTGATACAATGAATAATTTTAATAATAAATGTACCGAGATTTCATACTGATTCCATGCACCAAGCATATATATTTTATTTTTTTTCCAAATTAATAGTATCAAAAGACAAAGTATCAAAAAGATATTTTTAATATTGAGTATCTCAAGCTGACATTTTTTTAAATAACTCGAAATTTAAATTATTTGTGTTTAATATTTTAAATTTTGATAAATAAATACAATAATTTATATTTAAAATATTTAAATATTTTCACATGCACTTGCGAGTTATGCTCCATTTTCCTAGTATAGTTATGGTGCGATTTCATTTTTATAATTATAAACTAATAATTATAAACTAAAAAACAATTATAAAAGAAAGAATCAAATTTCCTTTTATAAATTTTACATTATGTTTTATCATAAAACAGCTCATAATAAATCATATTTCATATATTTTACATTTTATAGTCCTAACTCCCCTTTAAACATGAACTCTTGTTACTTATAGTAAGATGTCCAGAAAAAAAAATTTTTGTAATACTATTCAAACTTTTGTGATACATAAAGAATAGATAAATCGCCATAATTAATTTTTACAATGGTAAAATGTCCAGAAAAAAAAAAAATTCTGTAATACATTTCAAAACTTTTTGTGATACTCGCCATAATTAATTTTTAATGCCCCCAAAAAAAAGCTCTGTAATACAAATTTCAGAGGGCCCGAATGATGAGAGACTGACAGGTCATATGGCCGACACGCTTGACCAGAAAAAAGCTGAATCATATAATTATATGTTTAGAAATAAAAATCACTATGTTAACTTGCCTAATTTTCATTTTATACACTTATTAAGATGCAGATACTATAAAGTAGAACAATGCCTGCCAAGAAATTCACAATATAAAAGTGCATCTACCAAAATCGGTGACTTCGTTACTTAGTTATAGATTCTGTTTTATAAATGATCTTACAGCTTGTACTATTTATTGTACGAATTTCACTTTGTAATAAATAAATAAACAAACCCTGTATTCAGTTTAAATTTGCATTAATTCATTTCATTTACACATTTTCGTAATTAGTAAATTACATATCATAATAGAATTCAATAATTGATATCAGAATGTAAATTTGACTATTTCTTTTAGATAATTGACAATTTCTTTTAAATGGAATTTCATGGCTACAAAATAGAGATCAAATATTTCAGATTTTTCATAATCTTTTAGAATACATATAGCTAGTGTGAAATAATGAATAAGCCAAATATTAATTAAATATTACTAAGTTTAACATTTTTTTTTTTGAACTTAAAGTCAAAAAATACTCACTTTAATAAGGTTTTAAAACATTGTGGTGAAACATCTGGTATAGAAATTTCATATTCAACTTTATTAGTTGACAGAACTTCCTGAAAAAAGGAAGAGCGTGCATATAAAATCGTGGAATGCACTTCAAACACTTGTGTATCTGCTACTTGAATTTTTAGATCACAACGTCATTTTTGTTCATATAGTGTAGAATAATCATGAATCAATGTTTGGATAAATTGACATTGTGGTTGAATCCGTTGATCTTGTTGTCTTTGGGCCCATTGATATTCTTGATTTTGGGCTCGTTGATCTTGCTCTTGTACCTGTGAATAATATAAATTAAATTTGTTAGGATTTTACAAAATATTACTGTATATATAAACTCTTTTAAGTTAACCTGTGGGGACAAATTAAAAAATTGTGTCACTTAAACTAGATCCAAGGTACGTGCTAATCTTTCGGCCTTATTTCTTGCGTAATTAAACATATTATGGTCAGCTGATTTCTTTTCTAAATGACAGCGAAAAGCATTATGAATATTGTAGCATCTTCAGTCGTATAATTTTCTTTTTCAACCAAGTATTGCAAAAGCCCCGAAGTACTCCAATTTGTATAATTATTTGAATCCAAATAATTTCCTATATGAATTTCCATGGCTATATCATAAAATGGAAAGTTAGTTTGACTCTAACAAATAGAAAAACATACGTAAAAATGCAAACAAAACTCAGATAAATATAATGCCCTAAAAGTCTAATGATTAGTTTAGCAGAATGTGTCGAACATTACAAATAACCCATAGAAATCATTAAATCAAACCATGATGTTTAGCCAGTTATTACTAAGTTTAACTCTAGTTTAGTACTATGTTGAGCCATTAGTTTAGTGATGAGTGTTTAGTTATCATTAAGTTTGACTCTAGTTTAGTACTATGTTGAGCAATTAGTTTAGTAATGGAGTTGCTAAGTAGTTAAACTTAATTCAAACACATGAGTGAAAAATAATGTATTAAACAACATTCACTAATCATTAGCTGTAAAGTTGCATCATATTTAATGATATATAAAGTTAAACACTAAGTCTAACTTTAGTTGCGACATATTGTTTCGCTAGTCAGTTAGCACTTGGTGGACTTTAAATATCAAAGCTTTTGACTGTATGTTATAAGGAAGGTATGTAACCATCCCTCCTTCGAAATAGTAGACCTTATAGACAAACAGAAAAACTTCCAAATAGTGTTTCACATATTAAGTAAAGATCTCTACTTGCCTTTAATACTTAGAAAAATTTTTAGAGTAATTTCTTTGATGTAAATATATAAACTTATCCAGAAAAAAAATAATATATAAAAAGAAAAAATTGTTCGAAGAGTTTGATGATTATTTTAAAAGAAAAAATTGTTTGAAGAGTTTGAAGAAAATTTTTAGGGGATAGTTTATTTATATATTTATATTCTGATATCGAATATGAGGTCATAGTGAAGAGCTTAACGCGTAGTTGTTATTACTTGACGCGTAATTACTTTAAAAACGCGAAAAGTTTATAGATAATTCCAAGCCACAATTACACATGATCAGAGTTTCTTGAATTGTATTACCTAATAATAAAAAATGTGTTTGTGTGCCAGGTTTTGTCGATCTTAATGTGATGTTTACCTGTCACTGATCACCTTAATGTACAGTACAGTGAGGGTACGATATTAACATACAAACTGGCCGGAATTAACGTTAACGCTATCACGTGCTTTAAAATTGTACACCCACTGTACGTTAAGGCACGTGTCTATGGAACGGGTAACACCAAAAAATGGATCTGATCAACATTTCCTTTTTGTGTAATGTTTTTTGAGCACTGGTGCGTTAAGGAACCTCTGTGTTTTTATTGGCTAATTGCTTTGGTAATTCAGGTTCGTTAAACTAAACTAAAAAAAAAACATCAATTTTCCTTTTTAAATAATTTAAAAAAAATAAGAATTTTAGTGGTTCTAGCCCCAATGTTCCTTTTCTTACAAATTTACCTAAAAAAAAGAAAATCTATTATCAAACAATAAATATCCAATTACCTTTTATATTTTTATTATAAGACAATCAGAAAATTGTTATTTTTTTTTTATTATTTATTATTTATTATTAATTCACTATTTATTATTAAAAAAAAAAATATTTCAAACTAAAAAAAGAAAACATTATTGAATAATAAGAAATCAGATTCCCTTTTATATTCGTATCATTATAAAAAAATTCAAAGAATTCGTCTTTACTTTAAATTTTTTTTTACTAAAAAAAACCTTTTCAAACTGAAAAAGAAAAAACTATATATTACTATAACTATAAATAATAATCGTGTAGATCTTTCCTTTTATCGATAACGCCAGCCGGAATTTATAGGCTGGCATTATCATAATTCCGGCTCTGAAAAAAATACGTAAAGCTAATAGTAAATTTTTCTTGGCTGTACCTTCACCTCTATATACAGTAAAAGTGGTCCTGGGAGAAAATAGGAAACTTTATTTTAAAAAGATGTAGAAGAAATAAGCGGGATGAAACAATTACATATTATAGATATACCATATTTGCGTTTAAATTCAATGAAATAATAGTATTTTGATATGATAATATTACAAGAAAATAAAATAAATAATAAGAAATTTCCATTTTAATTACAATCGACATTACGTAAAAAATCTGTTTTAATATCAAAATAAGCGATAGTGGTAATAATAATGATAATGATCTACATCAATCACATTACAGACAGTGCCGCAACGCTATACGAAAAAATAATGAATTTTGGTAAATAGATAGGGGGGTATTAAATTCCTTTATTAGAATTTAAAGTAAAAGTTACATTAAATATTTACTACTACATAGATTGAATATCATGCATCTACCATTCTATATTTAGTATAGTTAAGATTAATCTAAATTTAAATTCTCACACGCAATTTTACTAAATTTACTTGAAAACTCATTTATTGTTTACAAATGTAGTAAATCATTTAGTACATACATTTGTCACCCAGAGTAGAAAACCCCTGTTTTTAATTTTAAGTATTAATTTTTATTATTAATTTTTTTTTTAGTCATTTCATTATAAATTTGAGTAACCAAAACTATTTGGAATAATTATCCCCCCCCTTTTTTTATAATAAGCCCAATTAATAATCAAGTAAAATAGAACCGGTTTTAACCGAATTTTGATCGGTTTTATTTTTTGAACGCCTTTTATGTTAGAAATATCAAACTTTCCGGACTTTTCCGAAAATTAGTGCTAAAATATAATGAATTTCATACGGTATGCATTATTTTTTTTTTTTGATTTTTCTTTGAGAATTGCCGCCGAGTAAATCATTCCAAATTTAATCGTTATTATTTCCCAAATTAGAGATGATAAATTTCCTTATAAGTACTAGTTTAATGGTAACGTACAATTGTGCCACATTTCAAAAGCATCTTAATCAGCTAATATGGACATAACAAGTTTTCGAAATTTTTTTTTTTTTTATTAGGCGTGGCAACCGTGCCGATAAAAAAAAGATGCACCAAATAGTACAATATTGCAAAACTAATTATTATTTGCATATTTGCATAAATTTTAATATAAATATAATGAAAATAAAAATAAAATATTTTTTTTTTTGGTCGATCTTTTTCATTTTTTTTTTAAAAAAAAAATTTTTATAAGAAAAATCATGACTGGAAAAAGGGGACAAAAATCCGGTTCTAATAACGATGGTACTCAAAAAAATACTGGCGGTAGTAGTGGCAATACGAGAAATCGTAGAAGACGTGGAGGTGACAGTGGCCATAGTGGTGGCAGTGGTCGTGGTGGTGGTAGTGGTGGTGGTGGCAGTGGTCGTGGTGGTGGTAGTAGTCGTGGTGGTGGTAGTGGTCGTGGTAATGGCAATAGTCGTGGTGGTAATGGTGATCGTGATGGTGGTGGTGGTAGTGGTCGTGGTGGTGGCAATGGTCGTGGTGGTAATGGTGATCGTGATGGTCGCCATGATGAAAGGCGTGATATCATTGATCAAAATCGTAATCATGCACCAGCACCACCAAAACTTAGTGTTCCTGAAATAAAACAATCACAACAAGATACCGCCATTATGAATTTTGGTTCTTCCGAATTAAGTTATAATGGTAGTGATCGAATAGTATTTATTACTAATGGTGAACAAATTAAACCTATTTGGAAAAGAATATTGAGAAAAGACAAACCTTGGAATCAAAGTGACGCTAGGATTTTTGTTAGTTCTGCATTGGTAGCAACAGATCGTCGAACAGGTTATGAAGTAGAGGAAGTAATTACTGAATTAGGTGAAAGTGGTCTCAAGAGATTAAGGGAAATTATAAATTTTCCTTCAATGTCATGTGATGCTGGTCTTGATAATGATGTGTTATCTTTTCAACACGTTATATTACCTTTATTGGGTTTATTCACTAGAACGGCTATCACTGAATGTATTTTGGAAAAATATGCTCATGCAATCTTTATGGTTGTATATATAAACCTTGTAAGTATTATTAATCATTTGTAATTTAATTAATAATAAATGTAACACCTTTTTTTATTTCTTTTTTTACAAAATAGGACTCGTTTCTTTCTGATAATGTGATGAGAATGTTGGAGATATTGGTCCAACGTAATTCTGTTAAAGATAATCGTGTTAGCGTCGAGACATTATTGTCACGTGAACGATATTCATTTATTCCATCTTCGTAAGCAATCTCGTCTTTTGTTGTTGTTTTATGATGTAAATGTTCATTTCATTCACTCTATTAACTAATTCTCCTTTAAATCTATTTAATAGTTTGGGAGTATTTTTCTTGATAATCGTACGACTTCTTACAGAATTATTACGTCGTGTTAGGGAAGCGGCTGCTAATGAAACAATGCATAGAATTGCAAATAATTTATATCGATTAAAAACTGCGTATCAACAATCACTTGAACGACAACAATTTTCTCCAACAGATCCATTAGCCAATAATGTGGAGACCAGGAAATTTTTTTTTACGATATTAGAAAGAGAAATAAATATCATGGATAGAATGTTAAATAATAGTCGTAAAGGTTTAATTCTTGAACAAAATCTTAAAGCTAATAATAATTTGAATGTAAAATCAGATAAATCATATTACAGAGAATTATCTAGAAAAGTTGACGCTGAAAGAACTTATGATCCACCTGGTGATTTATCAAAATATGGTAGAAGGCATGATAATGATTTTGCAGAAATTTCTGAAATGTCAATTATTCCTACAAATGAAGAAATATTATGTGAACGTCCTCCTTTTTTACCTTCATTCCGTTATCCATTTCATTTTTTATCTGATGGAGCTGCTAGATTACTTGATACACAATTTCGTCTTTTAAGAGAAGATTTATTAAATCCAATCCGTAATGGTTTATCAAATTTGATGGTTGCATTATTACAAGAGCATACTCCTACTAGTGATGCTAAATTATCAAGAGAATTAAAGAAAATACAAGAAAAAAGTGGAGGTAGATTTTCGTATAATAATGGTGCGAACGAAAACGGTGATCTACAAGTATATACGAATGTACAATTCGCTAATATTTCTTGTGATAGAAGAAAAGGATTTGCTTGTACTATAAGATTTACTCCTCCAAAAAGTAGTGCAAAAGATGCAAGAGGTAGAAGAGAATATTGGGAAAAGAGTAAAAGATTATTAACTGGTAGTTTAGTTACCATCATATTACCAAATCCAAATCCCAAAAGAGTGAATTCAAATACTACTATAAGTAATTCTGATTTATATTCACTTTATTTTGGTGTAGTTGTATCAAGAGACGAAAAAGCTTTATCTAAAGATGAAAATTTTTCGGAGATTGATGTTAATTTTATTGATTCATCAATTTATCCTATTGCATTAAGTGAAATTTCCAGTTTTAAAAGAATTTCAACAGAAAAAAGATTTATGGTAGAATCAACTGGTGTTTATTTAGAAGCATATTATCATATTCTTAAAACTCTTCAAACTGCAGATCCTTCTTCTTTACCTTTTGAAAAATATTTGGCTCCTAATCTTGAAGATAAAGGAAATATGAGACGAAGTATTGATGTTAAAGTTGAAAATCCTATGTATACTAGAGCTCCAGGATTTCAATTTGATTTATCAATTTTATGTAAAAATAAACATAAATTAAGATTAAATGTTGCGGATGAGTGTAGTTACGAAAGATCCATAAGAAAGATCGTTAAATATAGTAATATCGGAAAATTACCAAATGGAACTCCATATGGATTAGACGAAACTCAAGGTAATGATTTTTATTATAAGATATATCTATTAATTTGAGTTAGAAAAAAAATTAATTATTATTTTTAATCTTAATGTATAGCGACGGCTTTGATATCATCTTTAACACGTGAAATCGCATTAGTTGAAGGTATGAACGATTTAAATTATTTTTTTTTTAATTATTTATTGAACGGACTTAAAAATCAACTTTTATCTTTTATTAGGACCACCTGGTACTGGTAAAACAGTAGTTGGAGTTCAAATAATGAAAGTTTTATTAGCTGAAGAAAATCGACATACAAATATTGGACCAATTCTAACAATTTGTTTTACTAATCACGCTCTTGATCAATTCTTGGAGGTAATTTTTTAATTATTTTATTTATTATTATTATTATTATTATTATTTTTTTTAAAAAAAAAAATACTAGAAAAATTAACAATTTATATATTTTTATAATTATAGCATTTACTTGATGAAAATATAACGAATATTGTGAGGTTAGGTTCTCGATCGAAATCTGAAAAGATCAAAGAATTTAGTTTAGAAGAAGTTTGTAGAAATCGTGCTCGTACCAAAAAAGAATCTTATTTATTATACCAATTATATAGAGAGATTGAAGATGTAGAAAAAGATACAGAGAAAATGAGGAACACTTTATTTAATAGATGGATGAAATGGAGTGATATAAGAGAATATTTAATGGTTGAAGAGAGAGGATTTTACGATAAATTTGATATGGTATATGAAAATGATTTACCTAGTTGGGTTTTAGGTACCGATGATAATGAAGGGTTTCAGACTGCTAAAAAAAATAATAAACAAAAGCGTAAAGATCCATTTGATGAATGGATAGAAGGAGGAGACATTAGAATAATTAACAAGAGAAAGGAACTTTTATTAAATCCACCGAAGAATGACAAGAAAAATAAGAAAAACCCAAATAAAAATACATTTGATATACTGAAAGTGGAAGAGACCGGAGATCATATGGATACAAGTAACGATGGATCACAAGTTGATTATTATACGATACAATGGATTGAAAATTACAATGAACCAAAAACAAATCGACCTTTAAATGTATTATTATATGATCGTTCAGTTTGGAAAATGTCAATGTTAGAAAGACAAAAGCTTCATGATCATTGGCGTACAAAAATTTATAAAGAAATTGTTGAAAAATTTTCAGAATTACAAAAAAGGCACGAAGAAATACGCCAAGAAATAAATGGAATTTATGATGAAGGACGTCGTCAAGTATTATTAAATAGTGATGTTATTGGTATGACTACAAATGGTGCAGCTAAATTTCAAAATTTAATTAGATCAATTGGTCCCAAAATTATTATTTGTGAAGAAGCAGGAGAAGTATTAGAAGCTCATATTCTAAGTGCATTAACTCCATCGACTCAACATTTGATATTAATTGGTGATCACAATCAACTTCGACCTCACATTGCAACTTATTCTCTTAGTGTGGATTCACCAGTAGGAAATAATTATCAATTAGATCAATCATTATTTGAAAGGTTAGTTAAGGGTGATAGGGCAGTCAAAATTGAGAAGGCTCAACTTCTAACCCAAAGACGTATGAGAAAAGAAGTATCTGATTTGATCAGATATACACTTTATCCAAGTTTAATTGATGGTGATAATACTAGAAGATACGAAAATGTACGTGGAGCTCAACATAATGTATATTTTATTGAACATAGAAATCCAGAAGATGGTTCAGGTGGAGAGCATGCAATGAAGTCTCATGTGAACAGATATGAAGTTAAAATGGTGGTTGAGATGGTAAAATATTTCGTTAGGAATGGATATACTAAACCCGATGATATAGCTGTACTTACTCCTTATTTAGGACAAATGATTAAAATTAGAGATGCTTTAAAAAAATCATTTGTTGTTGTTATTGACGAAAGAGATGCGTTGGATATTGCTGAAATGGAAGAAGAACAAGAACAACAAGGTGAAACTAGTAATAATATAGATACCATAAGCGTTGCGTCAAGAAAATCATTAAATCAACAAGTTACTTTAAGAACTGTTGATAATTTTCAAGGTGAAGAAGCGAACATAGTTATTGTTTCATTAGTTCGTAATTTCTCTAAATCTGGTAGTGGTGGTGGACATGATTCCATCGGATTTCTCAAAAGTACAAATAGAACTAATGTATTATTGTCACGTGCTCGTAAAGGAATGTATCTCATTGGTAATTCTGAATTAATGTCAATGAAATCTAAAGATATGTGGGCTCCAGTAATTAATATTTTACATAATCGTAATCAAGTCGGTTTTGGTATGCCAATTATATGTAATAAACATCCTCATTACAAAAACACTATCGTTGATCCTGATCAATTTGAACAAATTAGTCCAGATGGTGGATGCTATGAAAATTGTAACATGGCACTTCCTTGCGGGCATATATGTAAATATAAGTGTCATTCTGACGATCCTGAACACATCGGAGTTAAATGTAACGAACGTTGTTCAAGATTACATTCAAAATGCCATCATCCATGTCCAAAGTTTTGTTCTGATGAATGTGGAAGATGTGAATTTCCTATCGGATCTATTTTATTACGTTGTGGTCATATATTACAAAATGCTAAATGTTGGCAAATTCAAATTATGGATTCAATTAAATGTAAAACCTTAGTTTCGAAAAAATTACCATATTGTGAACACACTAAAACCATTCGCGTAAGTATTATTTATATGACATTTATTTTTGATATTGAATTAATAATAAATTATTTTCATATTTTTTTTTTAGTGCTCTGAGCCTGCCGAAGATGCCAATTGTACAGAATTATGCAGAAAACAATTGGAATGTGGCCACGAATGTCTGAGTTTATGTTCTGAATGTCAAAACCGGTCTAAACCACAAAAATCCAAAGGTAAAAACAAAACGAAAGAAACAAATAATATAATCATTCCTATTGAACGAACACGGCATGGAAAATGTCAAAATGTATGTGATAGATTATTATTTTGTGGTCATATATGCAAATCTAGTTGTCACGAAGGAAATGAATGTCCACCATGTAAGAATAATTGTACAGTAATATGTAAGCATACATCATGTCATAAGCCTTGTTTAGAACCTTGTGCTGTATGTGCAGAAAAATGTCTATGGGAATGTATACATCAAGGAAGATGTGAATTAAGTTGTGGAGCTCCTTGTTATAGATTACCTTGTAACGAAAGATGTAATAAAATATTGGAATGTGGACATGATTGTGCTGGAGTTTGTGGTGAGATTTGTCCTTCAAAAGATTTTTGTCTTGAATGTGCTCCTGAAAAAGTTAAAAGTCAAGGTAAGTTTTATTAAATTATCATTGTTAAATTTAATTTCTTTAAATCAGCATTTTAATTTTTAATTTTTATTTTTAAAAATAGTACCGGATATGATTATTAACAGTACGTTTAGTGAAGTAGATTGGGAGCTAGAAAGAATGATCGTTCTTACTTGTGGGCATGTGTTTACTATGGAAACTATGGATATGCTTATGGAAATGAAAGACTTTTATGAGGGGTCAGTTGAAGGAGGATGGACATCAGTTAAAATACTACCGACTTCACCAATGAATATGAAGACGTGTCCGACATGTAGAACACCAGTTAAAGGCGTCAGGAGATACGGGAGAATAATTAATAAATACACATTAGATATACAAAATAAGAAATTCCTGTCAAAATATGATCGTCTATTAAAAGAAGTTGCCAGCCAGATTATTCCTCTTAGAGACGAAATGATGAATAAAAGAAATGAATTAAAAAATGCTTTACCCAAACTTGAATCAAGACCAGCTGAAATTGTACTTAAGGAAGATAATGTCATAGACGATAAATTACCTGAAATCACACCTCATAATTATTTTGGGAATATCGAAAGGTATCATGGGTTTGATAACGTTAGTGAAAAAGTATGGGTTACTCATGTTAAAAAATTATTAAAATGTTATCAAAGATTAACTTCAATTATTAACGCCACGAAATTACCACCTCATAAAAAAGCCTTTGAGGCCGCTGTTTCAAGTTTGTAAGTATAAGTAATTGAATTCTTAAGAGAAAACAAATATTTTATTTTTAATCATATAATTTAAAAATTTTTTTTTATTTTTTAGATATCAGGCTAAGTTGGCAAAAGAAAATTCTGTAGATGATTTGGTCGAAAATTTATTAAATTTTCAGATTTCGGATAACTCTTCTTCCTCTTTTGATCATTATGTTAATGCTATAAGATCAACTCCATCCGAAACTTTTCAAGAAACGCTTTCACAAGTAGGAATTTCAATACCACAAGTAGATCGTAGAATTTATTTGGATACACTTTTTGAAATCATCAATATACAAAAAATTCTATATCACGAAATTTTATTTATAATTCAAGAATTATCAAAAGAATTAAGTCCTGCTACTACATTAATTGAAAATGTTTTAAGTATTAAGGAAATTTGGAAAAATTTTATTGAAAGATTACAAATTTCTATTCAAAATCATTTAAATACAATAAGAGAAATAGCGGAATCTACTCATTATGGTAGACATTTAATTTTAGTTGATGTAGAAATATTAGAATTTGATATTAAATTGCTTAGATATCAATTAAGACATCCGCCTAACAGTAATGGTATTATTAGTAAAGCACTTCAAGATAGGATTACAAGAAAATGTAAGGATATTGAAACACGTATTGTGCAAATAGCTAATAGTAGTAGACATAAAAATTCTGAAAAGGAATTTAAGAAAGATGTTCATAAGAGATTAGTAAATTTATTAGAAAGTTGTAATGAAGTTAAAACTTGTGCAGTGAATTTAAATAAAACATTAAGTAATGAAGAAAAATCAGAAATTTATCGAGCTATGAAAACAGAATTTAGAGGTTCAGGTACAGTATATATTAAAATTCATTTTGTTATAAAAAAAATTTTATAATCCTATTTTTTAATAATTTCTTAATTAATTAACGCTATCATTTATTATTCATTAATTAGGACATTGGTATCAGTGTCCGAATGGTCATCCGGTAAGAAATTTCACTATTACTACAAATACATATTTTTAACGTGTACAATAAATATACTTATATAATTGATATTTTGATTTTATAGTATACGATTGGTGAATGTGGTGGAGCCATGGTAATGAGTAGATGTCCTGATTGCAACGCACCAATTGGTGGAGGTGATCATCGGTTAACCACCGGAAATAGAATAAATTCAGATTTTGAGTCTATGCATTAGATAATTTTGCATTTATCGTACAGTATTTATTCATTTATAAAGTATTAATTTTTTTAAAAAATTTTCTTTTTTATATAAATGAATTAGAAATCCTGTATATTAAATGCTTTTTTTTAAAAAAAAATTGTAATAACGATATTTATTTTAATTTCAATAAACAAATATAATAATTATTTATACATACATTTATTTAAAAAATATTATGACCGGTAATGGGCGTTAGATAAAAAAAAAAAATTGAAAATACGAGGAAAAGATTTTGTATTAAAAAAAAAAAAATTCAAATATGTAGATACACATCACCGGCGAAAATAATGGCGATATGAATAATCACTTTTTGTTTTTGATATAGATCAAAATTAAAACTTGTAATATCAGAGGACCTTAGAATTCTACTTTTAAAAGGTAAAAAATAAATTGTCCTTTTTTTTATTTTTTTTAATACTTTATAGGAGGAATCGGAATATAAGTAATTTGTTAAGAATTTTCTTAAAGTGCTCAAATCCTATATAACGCACGATAATAATTCATTCCACTACTCAATTTTATATATCTACCTTATAATATATTAAATTGAACTTGGTATAAAGATTGTGAAATAGTAACATTTTCTCATCAACCAGAACTTGTATTGAACAACTATTGGCGGGATTCCTTGCAATAACGTGATTCAAATGATAGTATTATTGGAACTCGTGATCTTTTTATACCAATCATTATACTCGAACGATCTTGGTACACAGATGTTACACAGGAATTTTAACACCACCATGGAAGATAATTTTGTCTCAATCTGGCCTCTGGATGGAGAAAAATTGACGAATAGTGCACATCACTAAATTGGAGTATTTATTGACACAGAAGACGGCCATATCAAATAATAATTAAATAATTATGTATTTTTTCACACGACCAAAAAACCGACCGCAATTATTTTCGCCGAGTCTGTACGAATTTTCATTAAAGAATGACAAACATTATTAATTAATTACCCTTACTCATGTTTTATCAATTTCAATTGCTGAAAATTTAGTCATAAATGTTTAGATCAAATTATTAATTATCAAAGAAAAAATATTTAAGATTTATATTATTTACTATTCTAATAAATAAAAAATTTTTAGTGGACTAATTTTTTTTAGTAACTATTTTCTTTGGTACCCTTCTAGAGAAAAACCTAGTATCTCGAAAAAGATCAATATTATTAAATCAAAGTGATGTTACAAACTATTCTTCCTCATCATCATCGCCTCCATCGATGAGATCAAGTGAGGGGCCGAAGCCCATGAAGTTTATAAGTTGATCTAATTTGTTGGACATGGTAGACATTGAACCGTTGATTGCAGATTGTTCTTTGATAATATCGTATAAATCTAAAATTATACGAAACATCATTTTACCACACAATCAATGACGTCGCCATTGTATTAAAATTATGTTATTAATTTATGTATACTAATAAAATTAAAATTTACGCGTGACTGGCGTGAGAGGACAGGGAAAACACCCGTGACCACAAAATAATCGTAATATCGTAGGAAAAATAATGAATGGGTGAATTTAAACGGGAATCCATTATATATCGAGTATAGTCGGTTATCAAATTTTCACACGCACAATTTTACTAATTCATATATGGTAAATCATTTTACGCCTCACATTTGGCAGCCGCCCAAATTAGTAAGCACTGCTTTCTTAACAATATAGTGATGGGTTTTTCGTCTGTTTCGATAAAGTAAGCCACAAATTAAACTTCGTCAGATAGTTAATTTTCTTTCTTTTTTCTTTTATTCGTAATGAAAAAGAACTAAGAACAATCGAGTAACCACATAAAACCATTTTAAGACTAGCGTAATAATTATTTCCTTTTTTAATAGGTTATATTTTCACTACATAGCCCTTATAGCCTAACAAGTAATAAAACTTGTTTAATCAAAATTTGATTGGCCTTATCTTTACTGATAATGCAATACTGTACATCAATTTCATATGCATGATAAAAAAAACAATATCTTTTTACCATTTTTTCGTATATTTGTTATTATTTCCCAAATTGGCGGTGAAAAATTTCCTTATAAAAGCTATTATATAATTGTACCGCATTGGCGAATTCGAAGCTTAAAATGTCGATCATATTTTATGATACAATTATGCATTATTTGCATGTGAGCATAACATTATTATTAAATAATATAAATATTTTATGAAAAATCCACTTTTTAGTCGGCTCTTTTGTTAAAAAAAAAAAATTAAAAAAATAAATAATTTAGTCATTATAATATTTTAGTCATGAGTGGTAGATCTACTGGCGGTGGCAACAACAGTAAAAATACGAGACCAAGATCAAATCGCGGAAGACGTGGTGGTGGTAGTAATGGTGATGGTCGCCGTGACCAAAGACGTGATATCATTGATGAAGGTCGTAATTATATACCAGCACCACCAAAACTTAGTGTTCCTGAAATAAAACAATCACAACAAGAAACCGCTATTGCGAATTTTAGTTCTTCTGAATTAACCTATAATGGCAGTGATCGATTAGTTTTTATTACTAATGGGGAACCGATTAAAACTATTTGGAAAAGAATATTGAGAAAAGACAAACCTTGGAATCAAAGTGATGTTAGAATTTTCGTTAGTTCTGCATTAGTAGCTACAGATTATCAAATAGGTTATGAAATAGAAGAAATAGTTACTGAATTAGGTAACCCTGAAAGTGGTCTCAAGAGATTAAGAGAAATTATAAATTTTCCTTCAATATCGTGCGATGCTGGTCTTGATAATGATGTGTTATCTTTTCAACATGTTATATTACCTTTATTGGGTTTATTTACTAGAACAGCTATTACTGAATGTATTTTAGAAAAATATGTTCATGCAATCTTTTCAACTGTCTATGTAAACCTTGTAAGTATTATCAATAACATTATTCATTTTGAAATTAATTAATAATAATTTATTTTTTTTTTTTTAAAAAAAAAAAAATAGGACTCATTTCTTTATGATAAGGTGATTAAAATGTTGGAAACGTTGGTCAACCGTAATTCTGTTAAGGATAATCGTGTTAGGGTTGACACATTATTGTCACGTGAACGATATTCATTTATTCCGTCTTCGTAAGTAATGTTTATGAATCATAATGTAAAAACGTTTCATGTTATAAAATATTATTAATTAATTCTCTTTTAAATCTATTTAATAGTCTAGGAGTATTTTTCTTGATAATAGTACGGCTTCTAACAGAATTACTACGTCGTGTCAAGGAGGCATCTGTTAATGAAACGATGTACCAGATTGCTAATGATTTATATCGATTAAAAACTGCGTATCAACAGTCACTTGAAGAACAACAATTTTCTCCGACAGACCCATTAATTAGTAATTTAGAGACTAGAAAATATTTTTTTACGATATTAGAAAGGGAAATGAAAACCATGGATAAAATGTTAAATAATAGTCGTAAAGGTTTAATTTTTAAACAAAATCTTGGAGCTAAAAATTTGAACGTTGAATCAGATAAATCATATTATAAAGAATTAGCTAGAAGAGTTGACACTGAAAGAACTTATGATCCACCTGGTGAATTATCAAAATATGGTAGAAGGCATGATAATGATTTTATAGACATTTCTGAAATATCAATTATTCCTACGAAAGAAGAAATATTGTGTGACCGTCTACCTTTTTTACCTTCTACACTTCGTAATTCATTACATTTTTTACCTGATGGAGCTGCTAGATTACTTGATACGCAATTTCGTCTTTTAAGGGAAGATTTATTAAATCCAATTCGTGGCGGTTTATCACATTATTTGACCGCACTATTACAAGAGCATACTTCTTCTAATAGTGATGTTAAATTATCAAAAGAATTTAAGAAAATACAAGAAGAGGGTGGTAGATTTTCATACAATAATGGTGTGAGTGAAAACGGCGATCTACAAGTATATACGAATATACATTTCACCAATATTTCCTGTGATAGAAGAAAAGGATTTGCTTGTACTATAAGTTTCACTCCTCCAAGAATTAGTACTAAAAGTGAAAAAGGTAGAAGGGAATATTGGGAAAAGAGTAGAAGATTATTAACTGGCAGTTTAGTTACTCTTATATTACCAAATCCAAATCCCAAAAAAGTAAATTCAGATGATTCTACTAATAGTAATGCTAGTACTTCTATAAGTAATATTGATTTATATTCACTTTATTTTGGTGTAGTTGTATCAAGAGACGAAAAAGCTTTATCTAGAAAAGAAAATTCCGCTGAGATTGATATTGATTTTATTGATCCATCAATCTATCCTATCGCATTAAGTGAATTTTCAGAATATAGTAAAACTGAAAAAAGACCATTGGAAAAAAGATTTATGGTAGAATCAACGGGAGTTTATCTAGAAGCTTATTATCATGTTCTTAAAACTCTTCAAACTACAGATCTTTCTTTACGTTTTGAAAAATATTTAGCACCTAATTTTGATGATATGAATGATGAAGAAGATAAGAAAGGGAAAATGATGGAAGAAGTGAACAGTACTCTCGATATTAAAGTTGAAAATCCTCCTTATACTAGTGCTCCAGGATTTCAATTTGATTTATCAATATTATGTAAAAATAAGTGTAAATTGAAATTAGAAGTTGCTGATGAAAGTACTCACGATAGAGTAATAAAAAATATCGTTAAATATAGTAATATTGGAAAATTGCCAAATGGAACTCCTTATGGACTAGACGAAACTCAAGGTAAAATTATTAATTATAAATATATCGTACAAGTTGAGAAAATAACATCAATGCTTTAATTTATAGCCAAAGCGTTGATATCATCATTAACGCGTGAAATTGCATTAATTGAAGGTATGTATGACGTAAAGTAATTTTTTTTTTAGTTTAATATATATATATATATATATTAAACGGATCTAAAAAACAATCTTTATTCTTTCATTAGGACCACCTGGTACGGGTAAAACAGTAGTTGGTGTTCAAATAATGAAAGTATTATTAGCGAAAGAAAATCGAAAAACAAAAATTGGACCAATTCTAACCATTTGTTTTACTAATCACGCTCTTGATCAATTCTTGGAGGTGAATTATCAATTGTTTTGGATAATAAATTAATTATTCGTCCATAAAAAATTTAAATAACTCATGTTTCTCCTCTTTTTTTTTTTAATATTTATAGCATTTAGTTGATGAAAATATAACAAAAATAGTGAGGTTAGGTTCTCGAACGAAATCTGAAAAGATTAAAGAATTTAATTTAGAAGAAATTTGCCGAAAACGTCCTCGTAGCAAAAGTAGCAAAAAAGAATTAGCAATATTGTATAGTTCGATTGAAAAGATAGAAAAATATGTTCAGAAAATGAAAGGTGCTTTATTTAATAGGTGGATGAAATGGAGTGATATAAGTGAATATCTAATGTTTGAAGAGGCTACATTTTACTCAAAATTTAGTTATGTATCTGAAGATGAATTACCCAGTTGGGTTTTAGGAACTGATGATGATGGAGAGTTTGAGACCGTTGGAAAAAATAATAAGCAAAAGAGAAAAGACCCATTTGATGAATGGATAGAAGGAGAAGACATTAGAATAATTAACAAGCGAAAGCGACTTTTATTAAATCCACCGAAAAGTGACAAGAAAAATAAGAAAAGACCAAATAAAAATATATTTGATATATTAAGAGAAGAGACTGGAGATTCTATGGATATAAGTGATGATGGATCACAAGTTGATTATATAAATTGGATCAAAAACTACCAAGAACCAAAAACCGATCGACTTTTAGATGAGTTATTAATTGATCATTCAATTTGGAGAATGTCGAAGAAAGAAAGAAAAAGACTTCATGACCATTGGCGTACAAAAATTTATAAAGAAATTGTTGAAAAATTTTCAGAATTACAAAAAAGGCATGAAAAAATACGCCAAGAAATAAATAGAATTTATGATGAAGGACGTCGCCAAGTATTAAAAAGTAGTGATGTTATTGGTATGACTACAAATGGTGCAGCTAAATTTCAAAATTTAATTAGATCAATTGGTCCCAAAATTATCATTTGTGAAGAAGCAGGAGAAGTATTAGAAGCTCATATTCTAAGTGCATTAACCCCATCGACTCAACATTTGATATTAATTGGTGATCACAATCAACTTCGACCTCATATTGCAACTTATTCTCTTAGTGTGGATTCACCGGTAGGAAATAATTATCAATTAGATAAATCATTATTTGAAAGATTAGTTAATGGTGATAAAGCGGTTAAAATTGAGAAGGCTCAACTTTTAAATCAGAGACGTATGAGAAGAGAAATATCTGATTTAATCAGATATACGATTTATCCAGAATTAATTGATGGTGATAATACTACAAAATACGAGAATGTACGTGGAGCTCAACATAATGTATATTTTATTGAACATAGAAATCCAGAAGATAATTCAGGTGGAGAACATGCAATAAAATCTCATGTGAATAAATATGAAGTTAAAATGGTGGTTGAGATGGTAAAATATTTTGTGAGGAATGGATATACTAAACCCGATGATATAGCTGTACTTACTCCTTATTTAGGACAAATGATTAAAATTAGAGATGCTTTAGCTAAATCATTTGTTGTTGTTATTGATGAAAGAGATGCGCTGAATATTGCTGAAATAGAAGAACAAGAACAAATAATCGGAACAAATACTACTAGTAATATAGAAACTATAAGCGTTGCATCAAAAAAATCATTAAATCGACAAGTTACTTTAAGGACCGTTGATAATTTCCAAGGTGAAGAAGCAAACATAATTATTGTTTCATTAGTTCGTAATGTTTCTAAATCCGGTAATATTAGTAAATATGATTCCATCGGATTTCTCAATAGCAAAAATAGAACCAATGTATTATTGTCACGTGCTCGTAAAGGAATGTATCTCATTGGTAATTCTGAATTAATGGAAATGAAATCTAAAAAAATGTGGGCTCCAGTAATTAATATTTTAAATGAGCGTAAACAAGTTGGCTTTGGTATGCCAATTGCATGCAATAAACATCCATATTACAAAAACACTATCGTTGATCCTGATCAGTTTGAAAAAATTAGTCCAAATGGTGGATGCTGTGAAGATTGTAATATGTCACTTCCTTGCGGACATAAATGCAAATATAAATGTCATTCAGACGATCCTGAACACATTGGAGTCAAATGTAACGAACGTTGTTTAAGATTACTTCCGGAATGTTATCATCCATGTACAAAACTTTGTTTTGACAATTGTGGAAGATGTGAATTTCCTATCGAATATATTTTGTTACGTTGTGGTCATATATTACATAATGTTAAATGCTGGCAAAATAGAGATAAAGATTCAATTAAATGTAAGGTCTTAGTTTCGAAAAAATTACCACATTGTGAGCACTATAAAGATATTCGCGTAAGTATTTTTATTTATTTGATGACATTTATTTTGATAGTATGATACTTAGATTTACTTACATATTTATTTTTTATAGTGCTTTGAGTCTGTTAATATGGCGAAGTGTACAGAATTATGCGGAAAACAATTGGAATGCGGTCATAAATGTCCAGATTTATGTTCTAATTGTCAAGAACGTTCTAAATCACAAAAATCCGAGGATAAAAACACATCGATATTAGCAAGTTTATTCTTTTCCATTGAACAAACACCACAACATGGAAAATGCCAAAGTGTATGTGATAAATTATTATTTTGTGGACATACATGTGAATCTAATTGCCATGAAAGGAGTGAATGTCCACCATGTGTGAATAATTGTCCACGTAAGAATAATTCATGTTTTATCAACTAATTGTATCAAAACTATGTATGGCTTTTTTGTAAAAAAAATTTATTAATAAAGATTTTTTGTATTAAATTATAATCACAATAGTAAAAATTAGTCTTATGATAAATTATGATAAATTTCTTACTAAATTAATATACTATGACTCCGAATTCTTTTTTTTCTCGTTACAAATTCTGCTAAAAATTTTCGCATTATCATTCTTATTGAACATCCATAATAACCTCTTATGGTATGCTCTATTTGGATTGATTGTAGATACTGTACTTCAAAGTCTCAATAATTGATTTTTGAGTTTAACTTTTGGAGGTATCTTTCATTTTTATAATTCATTACCTTATGGCGCTATCTAAAGTATTTGAAAAAGAAATTCTAATTAATTCTGGCCAAATTTACAATTCCGGCCACAATTAATAAGTCACGTGCAGCAGCTGCGCCGTGAAATAACATTTATATCAAGGACTCCCGGCTCCGACCATAGCTTTTTAACATAATATTTCAGCATCTTTTTAATATACCTTGATAGATTTATTATTCTAATATTGATGGACTTTTATTCACCTTAAAAAATTATGAATTTTTATTAAGAACCGGTGAAATTAGTATTATCATTTATTTATTTATTCATCCTTTCATGAGTAATCAATAATTTGTTACGCATAAAGGGAGAGCAGTGGTAAACCGCACAATATTGTTACGGTGACAACGGGCTTCTTGATAAACCGATTTTATTATTTTAAATGGTAATTCTAAAATATGGGTGATACTAAAAAGTTTGTTATTTATGAATCAAACAAAAGAAAAATGTGAGAAAAAATTTTGAAATCAAAGAAAAAAAAAATGAAACGAATAAAACAGTGTATTATAATTTATTAATTACTACTAATACTGATTTATTTGTAAGTACTAATGGTTATTCCAAAATCTTTAAAATAGCTATTGACTGTCATTTCTAATTTCATTAATTATAATAGCTAGAATTAAACATTCTTCGAGTTGGTGCTAAAATTGTACCCATGATAACAAGCTTGACTTGTCATTCAATATGACAATGGAAAGCCCAAATACCAGGATTATCAGCAATGAAACGAATAACCAAAAATCCATTTCCAGGAATAGTTACAGTATCACGAATGATAGGATTTCTCTTGTTATTCGCTTTCATTAGGGAATTGACCTTTTTCACCAACAAACATTACAGCGAATACATGTCCGTCCAAGTGAAATGGATGATTGGCAGCGTTATTGTTGTTTACATAAATTTCTGCAATACCATCACTGTGATTAAAAATCACAGAGTTCTATTCTTTTGGTAAATTTCAGCTGCGGCATTCTTGTGATTTTATTGACCCTTAATCATTCATTTGAGGTACGAATGAAGTTCAATTAATTAAAGCTTCTCTTATCTGTTCCAAAAGTAATGATAATATTGACAAAGTCAGTAACATGTCCAATGGGTTTAATAGGTTCTAAATGCTATTAATTCTTTAGAATTTGGACTATTTTTTGTTCCTTCATAATGAACTGAACTGTAGAGGTCTGATACTTTGTCTAAATTATTTATACCTTTAAAATTAATATGATAGAAAATGATTGTATGTAAGGTAGTGCAAACGGGACCTGGGACCCAGAAACCCTAACCAGCCCAGACCCGGGTTTGCCGTGGGCTGGCAAACTTTCTTCAAATTCGCCCGGGCTGGGCACTTTATGTTAATTTCCAAGTGCGGGCCGGGCCGGGTTGTAAAATAGGGGTCAATGCAGATCTCTATAATGAAGTATTCCAAGACCATTCCAGTCGATAACAAAATTAAAGTTAAGTGTTGCATTAATATTTGGAGTACATCTTTTATCGAGAGTTCCATGAATAAAATAGTTTCCAACTGGCTGGTTAGCATCAACAATTACTGAATAACGTTGTCTGATACCAAATAGGCAATTTATTGATTATGGTCAGTTTAACATATACTCAATCCGATTCTATAACCTTAAGTTTATAGGGAAGATGAAAACACCATCTGCTGCAGAATTGATTATATGAAAATGATATTTTTTATTCAGTTCTTTTTAATATCTGATATTATATGGCTAATGGTTGATTATATTTACATTTGGAACCGGGAGCTGCAGTGCAGTTATATTTACCAAGTAGTGCCTCGACCCGTATCCAGATTAGGGATGGCAATGGTCACGGTTATTAACCGGTCATGACCAGTTATGACCGTGACCAATATCAGTCAGTCAAAGGCTTCTGACCGACCGTTTAACCAACTGGTTTAACCGACCATTTGGCCGACCGTTTAACCGACCATTTAACTGATTATTTAGCCAAATATATTTACTTAAATCTTTTTTTACGAACTTAATCAATAAAAAAAGTTAATTAACATTTTTTTTTTGATTAAATTATACTTTTTAATGTTTTTTCTTCATTAAAAAGAAAAAAAGTGATCAGTTAAACGGTCAGCCAAAATGGTCAGCCAAAACGGTCAGTCGGTCAAAGGCCCTTAACCAGTTATGACCGACTGATAACCGACCATGACCGACCGTTGCCATCCCTAATCCGGATCAATCCAGATTGATCCGGATTTTTTTTTCAGATATCCAGATTTTTACGGTTTTCATCCGGATTATAAACCGGATGAAAAATATCCGGTTTGACCCGGAATCTGGATGAAATTTTTATTATTATTAATAATAATTTTGCTAATCCATAAAGATCTATACCTAAATGATATTATGGCTAATTATTTTTGCGCCTAATACCAATTTTTTTATTAAAATTTTATTTGTTATATTAAACTTTTAATACAGTAAGTTTAAGAAGATTTTTCAATTATAATTTATTTATTGAAGTTTGTATCAGATTTGTTTATTTAAATTTATACATTAACAAATAACAAATAATTTTAGATTTTACATTCAAACGTTCAAAAGAAAAAAAACTTTATATTATTTTTGTTACAACAAAATAATAATTATTGTTTTAAATGAAAAATTGTTCAATATTATAAATTTATATAATTATAACAACTTTTTTTAAAAATTAAAACTAGTGTTATATAATTTGATTCAAATGATTCTTTAATTTTTGAAAGAAGAAACAAATCCTTAAAAAATTGCCTTACTAACCCAACACATCTATTTATAGTAATCTTTAGCTGTATATAAAAATATCTTGTTTAAAATTTCATAATTAGTTAATTTACAAAGAAATGTTAAACAATAGTCTGAGACAATGCTGAAATAATATGAAATTGTTTTAAAGAAAAGTATTTAATGAAATTGGAATTATGTAAATTTCGTGGTCTTGGATAATTTTGGCCAAATTTGTAATTCTGGCCGAAATTAACATCACGTGACACCGGAAAAATAGTTTAGCCACCGGGCAAAAAATTTTTTATCGGCTGGCATGAAAATTTAATGTTACACAATTTGTAATTCTGGCCGGCGTTATGAATTCTGGCCAGAATTATTGCCGATCATTTGTAAATCCAATCCGGTTTCCGGTTTCTATCTGAATTATCTGATCTGGATTCAAAATCCGGGTCAATCTGGATATAATCCGGATTTTTTTTTTGTGTAATCCGGATGACGGTTTTCATCTGGGTCGAAGCACTACTACCAAGACCGGTACTGTGATACAAAATTAACATTCTGATTATTCCTTTTTTATCCTCATTAAAAATATAATATAAAGTAACACCAATAGTAACGCCAACTCATTTTTTTTATTTTTTCAACCAAATTATTTAAAAATTAAAAGATGGCTAAAGCAAATGAAACTCAAGTTCCTACTGAAACTGAACAGAATAATTTAAAAATTTTTGATAAAGTTTCGAATTCAGTAAATATTAATCATAAAAATTGTTCTTATTGCAGTAAACCATTTACTGAAGAATTATGGTGTAAAGAATGTGATCCTCGTCACATGATTGAAGATTGGACCAGCGGAAATAATGACGTGGATAAATTTATCAAAGATACAATTTACGATATAAGAAATATAAATAATGTGTATAATGCTCAATTTCTTGAATGGGTACCATACCATTTGATAGGTTTAAAGATATAAACCAAATTGGTGTAGGTGGATTTGCAAAAGTGTATTCTGCAATATGAATTGATGGTAAAGCAGAATATAATTCTTATTGGGTAAAAAAGGAACCAAAACCTATCAAAGTTGCTTTGAAAAGATTAAATGGATCAGAGAATATGTCAGTTGAATATTTAAATGAGGTATGATTTGTATTAAATTTACATGCTTTTAATTAATAATTAATGATAATTAAAATTTTTCTTTATTAATTTTATTAATGTAAATAATAGCTTAAAATAAATTGGAATTATCATAAAGCAAATAACAGAATTACATTAAAATTTTATGGAATGACCAAAGATCCAGAAACTGAAGAATTTATGATGATTTTAGAATTCACAGATAAATGAAATTTGAGAAATGTTCTTTCACACAACTTCAATAATACTTTATGGGAAGATAAACTTTTATATTTAGAATGGTTAGCAACTGGTCTCAAATGTTTACATGAATTAGGATATTTTCACAAGGATCTTCATAGTTGTAATATATTGCAAACAAGTTATAAATCTCATATTTCAGACTTTGGATTATCTGGACTATCAAATAAACAAAAATCAGATGATAAAATATGTAGAGTATTACCATATATTGCCCCAGAAGTTTTAAATGGAGAATCATATACATTATTATCTGATATCTATAGTTTTGGTGTAATTATGACTGACTTTTCATCTGGAATACCACCTTTTCATAAATGAGAACATGATGCTACCTTAGCATTAGAAATATGTAATGGACTCAGACCAGAATTTGGAAAAGGAACTCCTGAAATTTACAAGAAACTAGCTTATAAATGTATGAATGCTAATTCAAATCAAAGACCAACGGCCAGTGAATTGCGTGACGTATTTTATTTTTGGGTTGAATCTCTTCACTTTGGACTCTACAAAGAAGTTGAAAAATTTGGATATAAAGGAAAAGAAATTAAGGCTATATTTAAAGAAGCTGATAAAGAAATACCAAATATTTCGTCTTCATATGAAAAAAAACCTGATGCTATATATATACCAGTAGATTATTTACATTTAATAATTTAACAAAACCTATTAATTCACCTCTTATTACATCATACCTTGATGATGAGGAAAATAATAAAGGTATTATGTATGGTATTATGTTTAGTTTAACAATTATTTTATTCCATAATGGCTAATTTTATTTCTTTTATAGACTGTCAAGATTCTCAATTATTTGACTTAGAGGTTTCTAGCTCATTACAATTAAAAGGTAAGTAAAAGTGGAGCAGAATATAATTTGTAATACATTATGTGAATTAATTAATTTTATATTAATTTCATTTATTTATCCAGATGATGCTAGTAATAAATATGTTGAGTGATCAAATGATAAAAACCTCTTTTTTTTACAGAATTATTTGTTTTGGTTTATTTTACATAAATATTTAACAATCTGTAACTATGTAGTATGTAGTGTTGGTCAACATTTCCGGAGGTTGGCGATAAATTATGGATGTTACAATGCTCTTCAACTTGAGTTTAAACCACTCTCTAGGAGATTTTTTTTAAATTTCTAATAATTTAAGCGAATTTACTGTATATTATCATAGGTGGCAATGCAGTACGCCGACGAAAGTTAAAATTGTTTTCTATTTATAGTAGTATATACTATATAGTTTTAATTGTAAAATCCAAATATGTATTGTACATTTACATCATATAAATATGTCCAAAATATTAATCTTTCTATTTTAACAAAAGATTTTTGTAGACCATGATAATTGGTGTACTACTTATTTATTAGTCATCCTTTTCCTTTATGTCAATAAAATTCATATAATCAATTTTGACTTTACAACTTATAAAATATGTAATACTAAAAGTTACTGGAATATTGATAAATTTAGAGATAAGAGACAAAGCATGTAAATATGATAAAAAATAATGTATATCGTTAATTTCAATCAAAATGGAGTAAAAATATAAATATTAATGAATTTGAATATATAAAATGGCAAGCAATTAATTTTCATTAGTATTTACTACACATAAATGTTTGGCAAACAATTATATAATTTTTTCACTAAATACTACTATTAAATAAATCTTGTTTTCAACGATCTCTCTACCTTTTTTAAATTTGAATGGTTAATTAAAGCTTGAGTTTAAAATGAGATATCAAAAGTTTTGAATTAATATTGAATAAATTTGAGAATTGAGATTTTTGAAAAAAAGAGAATGCTCTTTATAGCTGTCGATTTATACCAATTTTCGTTCACTATAAAGTTTATAATTAAACTTCACTGTAAAATAATTATTTATTATTAGATGATTTAAATCAAATAATATTCTAATGCGGCACTACGTGGAGTTCCGTTCATACAATAATTGGTAATACGTGGTATTAATATGAGATAACCGACAAAAAATAATAATTATGTAAAATCTGCATGAACTTATAAAGATAAAACAATAATTATTTTGATACTTCTTTCTAGAAGTATTACAGTAATATATAAGTCTTTTAGATACGATAATGATAGGGATAGAAAAAGTTCTAAATCGAGCAATTCAGAATCGGCTTTAAGCTGAACATCGGTTTAGAGCCGATTTAGTGATTGTTGGCTCGAATTCCTTTTTTGGAAATTTATGCAACATCACGTGACACAAGCGGCCAAAATTTGCGATGTCGATCAGAATTAACAAACTTATTCGTAAAATATCGCTTGAAAGTCGACTTTAAACCAAGGTTCGGAACCGATTCTATCAGTTCGGCCCACTCTGACTCGGTTCGGCTCACAGAACCGAAGCCGAACCGACAGAGTCGTATCCATCCCTAGTGAATAAATTCATTAAAGTATTAACTAGATTCCATAAAGATCAGAATTTATATAACAGTCAGAACTCGATATAAAGAACCCTCCGTTCAGGTGATCTTATATCATTAAATCGAATATATTTATATAAAGATACTCTTTTACTAATAATTAAATTAAAAGATTTATGAAATCAATGATCGAAATTCATCAAGTGATTTGCTATGCACTTATGCTGGCCAGAATTAATAAATAAATATGGCTGGTTTATAAACATAATTTCCGTATATTAATATTGCAAAATTTAGGGCTAGAACTAAAATAATGGGTAAATCCTTCCTTTCTGAATAATCCCAGGCGGAATAATGTAATTCTGGCCCTGAAGTGATGCGTAGAGCTAATAGCAAATGACTTGTTACCTCTTTATATATTGCTCGGGTCCTAGGAGATTTGATTTAAGAAAAGATTCGTTATGGGCCAAAATTGGTTCAGTTTACCCCGAATCATCATATCGAGTTCTAATATTTTTATATACACTTTTTAATTTATATTATTCATAATGTTTCATATGTTAGCATCAATTTTTTGACGCTCAATTTGTATGGCATCGGGAATAAATAAAGACCTGATGAGAAAAGCTAAGTGAATAAAATTAGGGTTTCGATCCGTTATCCGAATTAGAATCCGGATTAAAATCCGTATTTCGGATTTAGATCCGGATTAAGACTTGTAATTCGGATTAAAATCCGGATTAAATTATATTATCCGGATTAAATCCGAATTAGACTTATGATAATTATATATCAATAAATTATTTAATATAAATATATTATATATTATATAAAATTCTTTTAATAATATTAGTATGCAATATAAATTTATTATACTTATATTTCTAATTATGCTTCATCATCTAAGTTATTCCAATCTGGCGCAAAAACTTCCATAACTTTCACACTTCGTTTTAAAAAGTGCATTTTAGTCACTATTCCCTTTCATCCAAGAATGTACGTAAGCATAGTTCTCTATTAACATAAAAACATTTTGTAAAATAACTATGTGCGATACTTATATAATTAAAAAAAGATAAATTTTTATTCTTTTAATAAAAAGAATTATATTACAACCTTTTCTTCTAATTTCATGGGCAGTAGTCGCTAAATTTGTAATTCTTTGAACTTAAAGGGCTTTATAAACTTCTATTAGGAAATTCTTCATTATCCAAATAATTTCGATATTATTATTTTCTATTGTTTACAATAACTTTAGTGAGACGTAAAGAATTTTGTTTACAAGTAAATATATATAATAAATCAGTATTAAACTATTTATATACTAATCCGGATTACACAATCCGTCTAAATCCGTCGTAAGGATCATCCTAATTAAGCTAATTAAGCTCGAATAACGGATTTATCCAGATAGCTTAAAAAAGGATCGAAACCCTAAATAAAATACAAGTAGTTATATAATGACGATAATTGTTCTTTTTGTTCTTGGTTTTATTTAGCAAATTAATTTCATTTTTTAAATCAACCAAATTGAAATCTTCAATAAATCACTTATGTAATTATTTATTTTGTTTAAAATAACGGGCGATATTAGTAATAAAAATGGTGTTTAATGCAACTTCGAATCGGTCAGAAATTCCAAATTGATTTTATATAAAATATGTGTCTTAAAAAAACTATCATTAATTAAAATTGTACCGATAACTATATCGATTTCTCATATATAGCTGAAAAGTAAAATTTTATTGTAATATCAAGTTTAATAATACAATGGTATATTGAATGATTGCATAGATCAAGATTGTCTACAGCAGATCTTTAAATTATTCCTTCACTTTCCTAAATTCTTAATGACTATATAAGGACCCGAGCTATACAGGTCCTGGTTATTTGCTTTTTAAAAAAAAAAAAATCATGTAGATCGCTTCCATTTGTGGATAATACCGACCAGCATTACATAGTGCTGGCCCTGAAGAAATGCGTAGATCNCCATTTGTGGATAATACCGACCAGCATTACATAGTGCTGGCCCTGAAGAAATGCGTAGATCTAATAGTAAATATGTGCCGATCTCTCTTGACCTATATATATAAAACTCGGGCCTACTTGATATACTTACTAATTAGAATTCGGATCTCTTCATATGAATTATTATTTCTTGATTTATAGTTTATCTCTATTATATAAGCAATTTTTCTTTTATACGAATCTCATTTTTTATTAAATTTTAATAGCAACGAAATCTTTCGATTCTTATGGACTTAAAAAATAAAATTTATTCATTTAATTTCTAATAAGCATAAAAGTTACAGCAAAGTGTGTTAGTTTTGACATAACAAATTTTATATATTTTCTACCATCAGAAAGTTATTTTGTATGCACTATGCAGATTGTTATTTTAAAAATTAGAAAATATTAATGGCACAGAAGCAAAAACCTGATCAACCTAATGTATTACTGTGATACAAAATTAACATTCCATTCTAATTATCCCTTTTTTATCCTCATTAATAAAAATATAAAGTAACACCTAATAACGCCAATTTATTTTTTTTATTTTTTTTCTACCAAATTATTTAAAATTGAAGATGGCTAAAGCAAACGAAACTCAAGTTCCTACTGAAACAGAACAGAATAATTTAAAAATCTTTGATGAAGTTTCAAATTCAGTAAATATTAGCCATAAAAATTGTTCTTATTGCAATAAACCATTTACTGAAGAATTATGGTGTAAAGAATGTGATCCTTTTCGTATGATTGAAGGTTGGACCAGCGGAAATGATGACATTGATAAATTTATCAAAGATACAATTTATGATACAAGAAATGCAAATGAAGAGTATGAAGTTATGTTTCTTGAATGGGTACCATTTGATAGGTTTAAAGATATAAACCAAATTGGCGTAGGAGGATTTGCAAAAGTTTATTCTGCAACATGGATCGATGGTAAAGCGGAATATACTAGACAAGATGATGAATGGAAAAAAACGGAATCTCAACCTATCAAAGTTGCTTTGAAAAGATTAAATGGATCAGAAAATATGTCAGTTGAATATTTAAATGAGGTATGATTTGTATTAATTTTACTTAATAATTAATGATAATTAAAATTTTTCTTTATTAATTTTATTGATGTAAATAATAGCTTAAAATACATTGGAATTATCATAAAAGAAGTGTCACGGCTGCATTAAAATTTTATGGAATGACCAAAGATCCTGAAACTGAAGAATATATGATGATTTTACAATTTGCAAATGAAGGAAATTTGAGAAGTATTCTTTCACATGACTTCAATAACATTTTCTGGATAAGTAAAATTTTATATTTAAATTGGTTAGCATATGGTCTCAAACATTTACATGAATTAGGATATTTTCACAAAGATCTTCATAGTGGTAATATATTGCAAATAGATTATGAATCTCATATTTCAGACTTTGGATTATCTGGACCATCAAATAAACAAAAATCGGATGATAAAATATGTGGAGTATTACCATATATTGCCCCAGAAGTTTTAAATGGAGAACCATATACATTATCATCTGATATCTATAGTTTTGGTGTAATTATGACAGAATTATCATCTGGAATACCACCTTTTCATAAAAGAGAACATGATGCTACCTTAGCATTAGAAATATGTAATGGACTCAGACCAAATTTTGGAAAAGGAACTCCTGAAATTTATAAGAATCTAGCTTATAAATGTATGAATGCTAATTCAAATCAAAGACCAACAGCCAGTGAATTGGATGATATTTTAAGTTTTTGGTACTTTTCTTCTCGTGGTGATAAAGAATATCCAGAAGTAGAAAAATTTGGATATAAAGGAAAAGTAATTAGGGCTATATTTGAGGAAGCTGATAAAGAAATACCAAATATTTCGACTTCATATGAAAAAAATCCTGATGCTATATATACCAGTAGATTATTTACATTTAATAATTTAACAAAACCTATTAATTCATCTCTTATTACATCATACCTTGATGATGAGGAAAATAATAAAGGTATTATGTATGATATTATGTTTAATTTAACAATTATTTTATTCCATAATTGCTGATTCTATTTCTTTTATAGACTGTCAAGATTCTCAATTATTTGACTTGGAGGTTGCTAGCTCATTACAATTAAAAGGTAAGTAAAAGTGGAGCGGTAATATAATTTGCAATATATTATGTGAATTAATTAATTTTATATTAATTTCGTTTATTTATCCAGATGATGCTAGTAATGAGTGATCATTTGACAGGAAATTTTCCCGACAACTTTGACCAGCATTACAACTAATGTAGGCCAACGGTGTCGGGCAAACGTTCTGTCGGGAAAATGGATGTCGGGATTTTGTCCGACATCGGATAAAAGCATCTTTTTTTTATAGAATTATTTGTTTTAGTTTATTTACATAAATATTTAACAATTTGTAACTACGTAGTATGTAGTGTCGGTCAATATTTCCGGAGGTTGGCGATAAATTATGGATGTTACAATGCTCTTCAACTTGAGTTTAAACCACTCTCTAGGAGTTTTTTTTTAATTTCTAATAATTTAAGCGAATTTACTGTATATTATTATAAGTGGCAATGCAGTACGTCGATGAAAGTTAAAATCGTTTTCTATTAGTATATAATATATATATAATATATGATAGTAAATTTTATTATTTTTATTCAACATCATGATTAAAATCAAGTTAAATTATTTTCTTAAAAAATACATACTGTAAATAAATATTAATTAATTGTTTATTTATTTATCGATTAATAATTATTGTCAATGAACTTACAAATAAAATGGTTGCTGGAGGTTCCAAGGAACAAAAAACATTAATTTTACAATAATGGCTACAGGTAAAGGGTAATTAAACAATTAACGGATACTAATCAACTAATTCCTATCTAAGTCTGCTACAATAGCATCAAGGATGCCTTGTCAACCTCGCTAAAAACCCCTCGGTAAAAAAATATTTATTTTTTAAAAAAAATAAACCTGTCTGTAAATACTATCATAGACATCATAGACAGAACGATGAAAATGGCTTGGTAATTGTAAATAATATTAAAGATTGGAATTATATTGTTAGAAAATGATCACGTGTCTGAGTTTTTACTTTGTGCCGCCTTATATAATAAAATGCTTAAAATTTTAAATTTTATTTTATTCTATATATTGCAAATAATCTCTCTAGTTGATGTACCATTATCTGTAATTTTTTCGGACTTACCATACCGTCGGAAGGGGAAAGTCCACTCTCGCTAAATATTTTGTTCAAGGTGATATTTATCACAAAAACACGTTTACTATTAGTGATGGTGCAGTTGGAAGAACATCTCATGTAACTTATGACAGTTTACATTGAGGTATATATATATGACACGATTTGATTATGTGAATCATTCAAAGGAAATATAGAAAACAACAAAGCTATCAAATTTATCGGAGGGCCTTATCGCGTACTCAGTCACCATTCATCTATATATGTTATGTTAAAAAGGGTGTAAAGTTTACTAAAGAAGACAAAAAAACGTTTGAGGATTTCAAAAGTCATTAAAGGAGGAGACAGTAATTTTGTCATCATCATTACTTGACACTCCAGAATGGACCAAAAATAATATAAAAGCAATACGGAAACTATCAAGTCATTTCAGTTGACTTTCCCTTCAATTATCGTTATCCTGAAGATTATAACAAAGAAATATATAAGGACAAAGAGCCGGAAACATCAACTATCAAAAAATAAACATTTGACTAACTATTTGAAATTAAAAAAAATTTCAGTGTTGAATTGATAATTAAGTGGGTTATTAAGTGTTATTTAAGTGATGCATTAACATTAAATTTAATAAAAAATAATTCAGAATGTTAAATTTAATAAAAAAAATAGTTCGAAGTGTTATAAAAAAAAAAATAATTTGAAGTATTAATTGATAAAAAAACATTTAAAGTATAAATTAATCTTTTAAATTAAAAAAAAAAAATTAAAATCGTCCTAAATAAAAAAAAAAAAATTTTAATTCGATCTTTTAAATTATCGCCATATTGGAGCTGATTTCCAAAAAAAAATTGGTAAAAAAATTTTCTATTTAAAGTTTCTGACTTCCTTTTTGAAACTTATCTGTGGCTCTGATCTCCAAGTTTTGGCTTAGTTGTTGGACTTTTGGTGAAATTACCCAGCGGAAAAACAAAGTCGATATTACTAGTTTGCTGCACTTTTCAGAAGCATGTCATTGAAGCTGAAATAATTACTGGAAACCTTCCTGGAACCAGAGTTTTTATTCCTCGCATTATGATGTCTCCTTCAGATACAGATCTTCCTTTCATTTTCAAACGTCGTCAATTTCCAGTACAGCCAACATTTGCAATAACCATAATTAAGCCTCAAGGCAAACATTAAACTGGGTTAGGCAATTTTATGTTGTCAAGAGTAACATCAAGAAAAAATTTGAAAACTTTTATTACTACTAGACGGCGAAGAAAAAATGTTACTTAATACATTGCGATCATAATCCTATTAAAAAATAAAGTGTCTTTTGGTTATGGAATATTTTGTATAATTTGAAAAGTTATCCTTCTATAAGATCATCCGAAATTCTTGTCGCCATTACGGTTACGATTATTTGTATTACAGATTATCATTCTTGTTTATCACGAGGACTTTTTTCTTGTAAATTGTAAGTATATGATGGAAATACTCGAGCAATGCAATTAAAAATTGATACCTATAATAATATAGTGTTTGAATGGATACCATATACAGTAATTAGTTCTATAATAATGGAAAAATAGTCCATAATTATTTGATATACTTCTCAAATAAAAGTTTCTTTAAAATGCTTATATGGAAATATTAATAATTAGATTAATAATTACAAATTTTTAATTAACAAAGGCATTATTTAATGTAAGTAATGGACTTGAAATAATGAGCAAGTATAAATTGAGACAAATTATTTATATATTAACTAATTGGAATAAGCAAAGTGAACGTGATATTAAATGGTATCCATGTTGACGGTTTGGAATATTTGTTGTTTAATTTATGTACCGGATGGACATACCAAAAAAGTTGATAGTACGTACGCACGATTATTGTTTAAAATATTAACGTACATATTTTTATTATTGCAGAGCTAAATAATTCAAACACTCGTCGATTGTATTAAAACAAACAAGTATATTTATTTAGTGAGAATATTCAATATTTACAAATTACAAAGAATAAAGAATACTTGATATACATATACAGTTAAGTTCATTTTTAATTGCCTGTTCGCAATTCAAGACTTCTGCAATCCCCATACAAAGTTCTTCTTTATTTACTTGAGCATTGCAAAAATATGTCACAACTCATAGAATGTTGCATCTACTGTTTTTCTTTCAGTCGAAATTTAAATTTTATTATATTTTCCATGAATCTGTCCAATCTGTACCAGCCAATTCTCCATCGGATATATCAAGATCCATATTTGAAATTATATTTATTTCTTTCGTCAATGCAGTAATGCGAAAAGAGAATTATGATAAAATATATGATTATTTATTATTTTACTATATACTCAAATCATCGTAATCGTACATAAATTATACAATGTACGGTCAGTACGGACCGTACTATACTAATTTACTATATACTCCGATGTACGAACAAAATAATTATCAGTGTCGTTATTATTTGACAACTGACATTAATTTCAAAATTTTATGATACAAAAAATTTGTCGAGATAAATAATAATCCTTCAAGTATTTGTAATATAAATAATTCCGAATTTTATACAAAACGAGAAATCTAAATTTTTTTACTATTGATACTTGGTACAGATGTACTACATTTTATCCTCTCTTACGAATACTTTATTCCATCGGTATTATGTAATCAATTATCCGCCTCCGGTTTAGAAAAATTATAGTATAAAGCCTATAAAATCTATCGTTGTATTTAAAAAACTCGTTTTATTGTTTACAAATATAGTAACTATTTTACGCCTCACCAAAATTGGTAAGCCCCTGTTTTTAATTTTTATCTAGTTCTACTTTCTAATAACGAAGGCTTACAACTCGTTACGAAAAAAAAAGACAGCAACAACATTTTTTAATAATGAATTCGGATAAGATCGTCACAATTTATTAAGAATGTCGGAATTATCGGGCTCACTTTTTATATATCAATTAAATAGTCACAATGAAATATCAAATTGGCACTAGAGTATAAATGGGAAAATATATCTCCATTAGGAAATCCCATATATATAAATTCATTTTCTTATTCCTGTTTTGTACCAGGTTACACCTGTATTTATCCCTTAGATAGTAATATAAACAAATCCGGTTTAACCAAATTTTATTGTTTAGGCTTAAACGCCATGTAACAAATGTAACAAACATCTGACTTTTCCGGAATTTCCCGAAAAATTTTGATAAGGAAAGTTATATACATGGTTTCAATTGTATCATCGAATTTTTTATGGCCAAATTTGATTTGTTATTATTTCCCAAATCGGCTATGAAGAATTTCCTAATAAGTGATAATTAATGATTTAATTGTACCACATTTTAAAACCTCGGAAATTATTCATATGAAAGTCCTTTTTCCTTTGTCTTTCCGCTTATATTATTCCAAAAAAAAAACTAGAGAATTTTTTATTTATTGAAAAACATCGTATTAATTATGACTAGAAAAAGGACAAAAAAATTTTATCCTAATAACAATGATACTCAAAGAAATACTGACGATAGTGATAGCGATGACAACAACAATAAAAGATTAAGACCAAATCATGAAGGGCTTGATAGTGGTAGTGGTGGTGATGGCAATGGTGATGGTCGCCATGACGAAAAACGTGAAAGTCGTAATGTTGTACCAGCACCGCCAAAACTTAGTGTTCCTGAAATAAGGCAATCACAACAAGAAACCGCTATTACGAACTTTAGTTCTTCCGAGTTAAGTTATAATGGTAGTGATCGAATAATATTTATTATTAGTGGGGAACAAATTAGAACTGTTTGGAAAAAAATATTAAGAAAAGAGGAATCTTGGGATCAAAGCAAAGTTAGAATTTTTGTTAGTTCTGCATTAGCAGCAACAGATAATCGAACAGGTTACGAAGTAGAAGAAATAGTTACTGAATTAGGTAATCCTAAATGTGGTCTCAAAAGATTGAGAGAAATTATAAATTTTTCTTCCATGTCATGTGACGCCGGTCTTGATAAAAATGTGTTATCATTTCAATATGTTATATTACCTTTATTGGGTTTATTTACTAGAACGGCTATCACTGAATGTATTTTGGAAAAATATGTTCATGCAATTTTTATAATGGTATATAATAACCTTGTAAGTACCATTTAATAACGTTATTCATTCGTAATTTAATTAATAATAATTGTAATACTTTTCTTTATTTTTTTTACAAAATAGGACTCATTTCTTTATAATAATGTGATGAAAATGTTAAGGACGTTGGTTCAACGTAATTCTATTGTGGATACTCGTGTTAGCGCTGAAAATTTACTGTCACGTGAACGATATTCATTTATTCCGTCTTCGTAAGTATAAACCTGTGATTTTATATCATATAATATATTAATTAATTTTCTTTTAAATCTATTTAATAGTTTAGGAATATTTTTCTTGATAATCGTACGATTTCTTACAGAAATATTGCGTCGTATTAAAGAGGCGTCTATTAATGAAACAATGCATAAAATTGCCAATGATTTATATCGATTAAAGGCTATGTATCAGCAATCACTTGAACAACAAAAATTTTCTTCAACAGATCAATTAACTAGTAATTTAGAGGTCAGAAAATATTTTTTCATGGTATTAGAAAGGGAGATGAATACCATGAATAAAATGTTAAATAATGGACGTAAGAATTTAATTTTTGGAGCTAGAAGTTGGAATGTAGAATTAGATCATCAATCAAATTATGGAGTATTAGCCATAGGAGCTGATGCAGAAAGAACTTATGATCCACCCGGTGAATTATCAAAATATGGTAAAAGACATGATAATGATTTTTCAGAAATTTCAAAAATCTCAGTTATTCCTACAAAAGAAGAAATATTATGTGAACGTCGACCTTTTTTACCTTCTACACTTCGTAATTCATCACATTTTTTATCTGATGGACCAGCCAGACTATTTGATACACAATTCCGTCTTTTAAGGGAAGATTTATTAAATCCAATCCGTAGTGGCATATCTAATTTATTGACTGCATTATTACAAGAGCATTCTTCTTCTAATAATGGTGATTTAAAATTATCCAAAGAATTAAAGAAAATACAAGACAAAGGTGGTAGATTTTCGTATAATGATGGTACGAATAGAAATTGTGATCTACAGGTATATACGAATATACAATTCGCTGATATCTCTTGTGATAGAAAAAGAGGATTTGCTTGTACTATAAGATTTACTCCTCCAATAACTAGTGCAAAAGATGCAATAGGTAGAAAAGAGTACTGGGAAAGAAGTAAAAAATTATTGGTTGGTAGTTTAGTTACCCTTATATTACCAAATCAAAAACTTAAACCTACGTCAATAAATAAATTTGATTTTTATTCACTTTATTTTGGTGTGATCGTAACAAGAGATTTAAATGCTTTATCTAAAGATGAACATTCTGCGGAAATAGTTATTAATTTTATAGATCCATCAATCTATCCTATTGCGTTAAGTGAGATTTCAAATTTTAGAAAAGGATCATTAGAAAAAAGATTTATGGTAGAATCAACTGGTGTTTATTTAGAAGCTTATTATCATATTCTTAAAACTCTTCAAACTACGGATTCTTCTTCTTTACCTTTTGAAAAATATTTGACTCCTAATTTTGATGATATGAATAATGTTGAAGGGTCGAGCAGTACTCTTGATATTAAAGTTGAAAGTCCTATGTATACTAGAGCTCCAGGATTTCAATTTGATTTATCAATTTTATGTAAAAATAAACATCATTTGAAATTAAATGTTGCAGATAAGAGCTCTTACAATGAAGTGGTAAAAGATATCGTTAAATATAGTGATATCGGTAAATTACCCAATGGAAACCCTTACGGAATGGACGAAACTCAAGGTAAATCGTAAGATGTACTAAATATTAAATGATCTTAATTGGAAATAATTTTATTTTATTATTATTTTTGATAGCCAAGGCGTTAGTATCATCTTTAACACGCGAAATTGCATTAGTTGAAGGTATGCATTGATATAGCATATTTAATAATATATTGAACGGCATTAAAATCCAATTTTTATTCTTTTATTAGGACCTCCTGGTACAGGTAAAACAATAGTTGGTGTTCAAATAATGAAAGTATTATTAGCCAGAGAAAATCGAAAAGCAAAAATTGGACCAATTCTAACCATTTGTTTTACTAATCACGCTCTTGACCAATTCTTGGAGGTGAATTTTAATTGTTTGTATAATAAATTAATTACGCACATTTTTATTTCTATTCAAATTTAAACGCATTTTTTGTATTTTTATAATTGATAGCATTTACTTGATGAAAGGATAATGAATATAGTGAGATTAGGATCTCGAACGAAATCTGAAAAGATCAGAGGATTTACTTTGGAAGAAATTTGTAGAAATCGTACTCATAACAAAAAGGAATCTTATTTATTAGCAAGATTATATGAAGCGATTGATGAGATAGAAAAAAATACTGAAAAAGTAAAAAATACTTTATTTAGAAGATGGATGAAATGGAGTGATTTAAGTGAATATTTAATGATTGAAGAGAATGAATTTTACAATAAATTTGTTAATGTAACTGAAAATGATTTACCAAGTTGGGTTTTAGCAACAGATGAAAGCAAAATTAAAAAATGGCCATTTGAGAAATGGTTAAGTGGTGAAGACATTTTAATAATTGAGAGAAAAAAACTCTTGTTAAACTCATCAAAGACTAATAAGAAAAATAACAAGAATAATAGGAAAAATAATAAAAATAAGAAAAATAATGATAAAAAATTAAATGAAGGGACTGAAGATAAAATGGATATAATTGATATTGAATTACAGTTTGATGACGCTATGCTAAATTGGATCAAAAATTACCAAGAACCGGAAGCGGATCGGCCATTGATTGTATTATTAAATGATCATTCAATTTGGAATATGTCAATAGTAGAACGAGAAAAACTTCATGATCATTGGCGTACAAAAGTTTATGAAGAAGCCGAAGAAAAATTGTCCGATTTACAAAAAAAGCATGATGAAAAACGTAAGGAAATAGATAATATTTATGATGAGAAACGTCGTCAAGTATTATTAAACAGTGACGTTATCGGTATGACTACAAATGGTGCAGCTAAATTTCAAAATTTAATTAGATCAATTGGTCCTAGAATTATTATTTGTGAAGAAGCAGGAGAAGTATTAGAGGCTCATATTATTAGTGCATTAACTCAATATTCACAGCATTTGATATTAATTGGTGATCACAAACAACTTCGACCTCACATTGCAACTTATTCTCTTAGTATGGATTCACAAATAGGAAAAAATTTTCAATTGGATAAATCATTATTTGAAAGGTTAGTTAAAGGTGATAATGCGGTTAAAATTGAGAAGGCTCGACTTTTAACTCAGAGACGTATGAGAGGAGAAATTTCTGATTTAATTAGACACACACTTTATCCAAATTTAATTGATGGCGATAATACTACAGATTACGAGAATGTACGCGGAGCTCAACATAATGTATATTTTATTGATCATAGGAATCTAGAAGATCATTCAGGCAGAGAATATGCAATAAAATCTCATGTGAATATATATGAAGTTAAAATGGTTGTTGAGATGGTAAAATATTTTGTTAGAAATGGATATACTAAACCCGATGATATAGCTGTACTTACTCCTTATTTAGGACAAATGATTAAAATTAGAGATGCTTTAGCTAAATCATTTGTTGTTGTTATTGATGAAAGAGATGCGCAGAATATTGCTGAGATGGAAGAAGGACAGGAACAAGAAGGTGATGGTGCTATAAGCGTCGCATCAAAAAAATCATTAAGTCGACAAGTTACTTTAAGGACTGTTGATAATTTCCAAGGTGAAGAAGCGAATATAATTATTGTCTCATTAGTTCGTAATTACTCTGAATTTGGACATAAATATGATTCCATTGGATTCCTCAAAAGTGCAAATAGATCTAATGTATTATTGTCACGCGCTCGTAAAGGAATGTATCTAATTGGTAATTCTGAATTAATGGCAATGAAATCTAAAAATATGTGGGCTCCTATAATTAATATTTTAAAAGAGCGTAACCAAGTTGGCTTTGGAATGCCAATTATATGTAATCGACATCCTGACTATAAGAATATTATCGCCAAACCTGAACAATTTGAACAAATTAGTCCAGATGGTGGATGCTATGAAAATTGTAACACGAAACTTTCTTGCGGGCACATGTGTAAATATAAATGTCATTCAGATGATCCTGAACATATAGGAGTCAAATGTTACGAACGTTGTTTAAGATTACATCCGGAATGTAATCATCCATGTCCAAAACTTTGTTTTGAAAATTGTGGAGATTGTGAATTTCTTATCGGAGATATCATATTACCTGGTTGTGGTCATGAATTAAAAAGTGCTAAATGTTGGCAAGATCAAACAAAAGATTCAATTAAATGTAAAACTAAAGTTCCTAAAAAATTACTATATTGTGAACACTATAAAGAACTTTATGTAAGCATAACTCTTTTTCAATTTTGCGATAACATTTTTGTTTTCAATTATTTATAACCTGTTATTTACGTAATTTTTTTTTAGTGTTTTGAGTCTGTTGATAATGCCGAGTGTACAGAAAAATGCAGTAAACAATTAAATTGTGGTCATGAATGTTTAAAAAAATGTTTTGAATGCCAAAATCTCACTATATCAACAGAGGAACCCGATAATGAAAATATGGAAGAAGATTTAATCATTCCTATTGAACGAACGCAACATGGAGAATGTCAAACTAAGTGTCAAAAATTATTATTTTGTGGGCATGCATGTAAACGTAACTGTCATGAAGGAATAGAATGCCCACCATGTAAGAATTATTGTACAGTAACATGTGAACATACAACATGTCATAAGCCTTGTTTAGAACCATGTGCTGTATGTGCAGAAAAATGTTTATGGGAATGTAAACATCAAGGAATATGTGAATTAAGTTGTGGAGCTCCTTGTGATAGATTACCTTGTAACGAAAGGTGTAATAAAGTATTAAAATGTGGACATAAATGTGCCGGAGTTTGTGGTGAGGTTTGTCCTTCAAAAGATTTTGTGTTATCTGTGCCCCTGAAAAAGTTAAAGATCAAAGTAAGTTTATCGAACCATTTTTAGATAAATTTTAAATTTTTAATCACTGAAATCTTTTCTTATTTTTAAAAAATAGTATCAGATGTGATTTGCAGGAGTACATTTAGAGAAATAGATTGGAATGAAGAAAGAATGATTGTTCTTACTTGTAGGCATGTGTTTACTATGGAAACTATGGATATGCATATGGAAATGAAAGATTATTTTGAAGGTTCAATTGAAGGGGGGTGGACATCGGTTAAAATACTTCCATCTTCACCATTGTATATGAAAATGTGTCCAACATGTAGAGCACCAATTAAAAATGTCAGGAGATATGGAAGAATAATTAACAAGTACACATTAGACATACAAAACAAGAAATTCCTAACGAAATATAGTTCTCAATTAAAATCAATTTCCCGATCAATCATTATTCTAAAAGATAAATTGAAGAGGAATGAATTAAAAAACGCTTTACCTAAACACGAACGAAGACCAATTGAAGTTGTAAGAAAAGAGCGTGATATTATAAACAAAAAATCATCTGAAATCACACCTCATTATTATTTTGAGAATATCGAAATACATCATGGGTTTGATAAAATTAGCGAAAAGGCTTGGACTACTCATGTTCAAAAATTACTAGATCATTATCAGAAATTAATTTCAATTATTAATGTTGCAAAATTGCCACCTCATAAAAAAGCTTTTGATGCTGCCGTTTCAAGTTTGTAAGTATAAAACAAGTTTATTCTTTTTATATATAAAGGGATTATTTTTTTAATAATTTTATCTTCTTAGATATCAAACTAAGTTAGCAAAAGAAGTCCCTGAAAATGATTTGGCACAAGTACAGAGCTCTTCCACTGACTCATCGAATTCATCTTCAAACTTTTATCTATCAAATATAAGTTCTATTCCTTCTGAAACTTTTAAAAAGACGCTTTCACAAGTAGGAATTTCAATACCGCAAGTAGATCGTAGAATTTATTTAGATGCATTTTTTGAAATCATCAATATACAAAAAATTCTTCATCACGAAATTTTATTTATAATTCAAGAATTATTAGAAGAATCAACACAAAATGATATGGTTATTGATCATACATTAAGTATTAAAGAAGTTTGGAAAGGTTTTATTAAAAGATTACAATCTTCTATTCAAAAACATTTAAATACAATAAAAGAAGTAGCGGAATCTACTCATTATGGTAGACATTTATTTTTGGCCGATGTGGAAATATTAGAATTTGATTTTAAATTGCTTAAATATCAAATAAAAGTTGCTCCTACTGATAAAAATGGTCACATCAGTTGGAAACTTCAAGAGGAAATTACAGAAAAATGCAAGGATATTAAAAACCGTATTGAAGTTATAATTGAAAGTAATAGATTTAAAGATTCTGAAAGGGAATTCAAGAATAGTATTCACAAGAGATTACTTGATTTATTGGAAAATTGTAATGAAGTTGAAGAATTTGCAATTAATTTGAGCGGAATTTTACTTATGGAAGAAAAATTAGAAATTCATCGAGCTATGAGAACTGAATTTAGAGGTTCAGGTACAAATAGTAATTCATATAATTATAAAAAATTTAACATCTTATATTTTTGAAAAAGATTTTTTTTTTATTGACATTATTATTAATATTCATTAGGACATTGGTATGAGTGTCCAAATGGTCATCCGGTAAGTAATTTTGATAATAATAATAATAATTTTTTATAGGTAACAGTATGATCATATAATTGATATTTTTATTTTATAGTATACGATTGGAGAATGTGGTGCAGCTATGCAAACTAGTAGATGTCCTGATTGCAATGAGGTAATTGGTGGATCTAGCCATCAGTTAACCTCTACAAATAGAATTAATTCAGAATTTGACTCTATGCCACAATAATATTACAACTTATTTATTTATTTATACAGTATTATTGATTTTATATAATTAAAAATTCTTATATTTATTTGTTATTGGCATTATTGTTTTTTTTTTAAAAAAAAAAAAAATATTTTAGTATTTGATTGATATATGTATTCAGTAAATGTACAGTACAGTAAGTACATCTTAAACAAAAAAATTTTAAGATATAGAAAATATTAATATAAATACAAATATTTTTTTTTAAAAAAAAATAATAAATAAGGATAAGTTTTATTACAAAATAAATGAAAGATTGGGTTTGTTACTTTTTGTAAGTTCATTTTTTTGATTCTTTTGATACCTTTGCCTATTGAATATTGATGCTAATCCGATGGTTAATTCTCAAATATTGACTAGTGAATTTAATTGACCAAAAAATATCAATTATAATTATCACATATAATTGATCATGCTCTTAATCATAAGACTTCAGAAATGTGTAATATGTGTAGTAAATTTTACCCGCACTATGATAATGTTGGCCAGCATTAAGTTAATAGATCTAATATTCTAAATTTAGTTACTAACATGATCGGACCAATCGATTAATAAGAAAGAAAAATTAGTTTTTCTTTGAAATACTTTTTTTACTTTAAAAAATATTAAATTAATTTCATTCACTTTTTGCTATAGCATAATTTGAAATGCGCATCAAATAACACAATTATTATAATAATCACATGAGCTACAAAATTAAAAAACGATCACTTATTATTAAATTTTATGAATAACCTCTTGAGATTTTGAATCTCATTCTCTTGTTGAAGGTAACCAAATAATTATTTTGATATATACAATTTTTTATAATATCAAATTTCCTATCACTATCATGTACAATGACTAATATACACTATGATACTAGTATCCGATGAAATGTTTTTAATTTTCACATCTACTAAATTTAACATCTGATAAAGAATTATTCATTGATGATGATTATGATATTAATACTGTAAACAATAATATTTTTTTTACTGATTAAAGAATACTCGTTTTCTAAGGGCTGTCTCTGTTCAATTTTTTTTTTTTTTAGTAGAATAATTTAAAGTTGGATGTCTACCTACATTGTTTAATGCAAAAGCAAAATGTTGATGGAATGATTTGAGTTGGTATTTCATAATTATTGATAGAATAAGGTGAATTAACACTCTAATAATTACTTATGAAATTATTGAACATTTGAATTCATTATAATAAATTTCATTTAGTTTCATAAAAAAAAATAAATTAGAAATGAATAAATGTATTTGTAACAGCCTGTTACATATCTTATTTGTAACATCCTTTTTTTATTTTTTTTTAATAATAAATTTAGTATATAGTTTACAAATAAAATTTTATATGCAAAATTTATTTTGGAAAACTTTTACTTAATGTACTTAAGACAGTTTCATAGACAAAATTTCAAGTTATAAGCAGTTTCTTGAAATTTTTTAAAAAATTCTTTTGTCTTGGTTACACGACTGATCTTTTGTTTTTGTTTACATTACGCCTGATCAACTTATAGTACAAACTATGGTATTTTTGTGATAAACTTATTATGCAATTGCTTTCTTTTTCTTTACAATATAATTTCAACACTTCGATCAAATAAAGCATGTCCTAGGAAGAGAAGAGGTAAGAAATTCTTGTAAAATTACTTTTAAGAATTACCAATATATGAAAATTTTGTTATTTTAACATTTGAAAATAATAGATAATATATCAATGTAGAAATATTTTTTAAAAAAAGAATCATTATGATCTAATTTTATGCGCTTAAAAAAAGAAATATTAATCAATAAATTATTGTTAGCATTTGTTTTATATTCATTTAAAATAATAGATCTTCAATTTTATTTAATGAGTAAAATAATATAAAATAGAAATTGTAAATAAAATTGTAAATAAAATTGTAAATAAAATTGTATATAAAATTGTATATAAAAATTATAAACAAAAAAAAAATACATCTCAAGAACCTTATCATACAACTTTACATGCAGTTGTTAAGAAAAAAAGTTACACAAAATAAAAACAAAAGTTCATTGAAAATAAATAAGGAAATGCATATTGTTGCCCGTAATTACTACACCTTTCTAGTTAATTTTATGATTTCATAAGGAAATTTTTCGTTTATAATATGATTTTCTCTAGTACAAAGGTGATCATGAGTGACACTTAGTGTGACAGGGGATTATAATGTTAAATTTACACATTGAATAAAATAAATGAAAAATCTAATAGAAAATAATTTTCTAGGATTTTTAATTGACGTATTAAACTAGAGTACTATAAATTCGCATAGTTATTTTGGTTACAAGAAAATTATAGCTGTCAAGTCTGTGGTTGCAACTTGAAAAGCACTTGACGACGTTATTGCCAGTCCTCCAGGAAAATATTTTTCTCGAAATTACGTATAATGTTGGCCTAAGTTGCGTCATAACTATGGATTACTATTAAATATTTGATGTTAAAATCCGAATTAACTAAATAAACAATTTTAAAAAATAAATAAAAACCAAAGTTTTACCACAATATACATATATGATCACTTAATAATCAACCTTCTTTATTACTAATATCATCCGTTGTTTTGGTTAAATGAATAAAATTAATTTATATTGTACAGATAATTATATTATCACATTACTTACCAAATCTCTAAGTCAAATACTTGAGAATCTTGACAATCTATAAAAGAAATATAATTAGCAATTGTGTAAATTAAAATATTTGATTAAAAAAATTTTATACCTTTATTGTTTTCTTTATCATTAAAATAATCAGTAATAATAGAAGAATTGACAGGTTTTGTTAAATTACTAAATGTAAATAATCTACTAGTATATATAGCATCAGGATTTTTCTTATATGAAGTTGAAATATTTGGTATTTCTTTATCAGCTTTTTCAAACATAGCCTTAATTTCATTTCCTTTATATCCAAAATTTTCTTTTTCTTGATAAATTCCTATAATAGAATCATACCAAAATTCTATTATATCATCTAACTCTTCAGCTGTTGGTCTTTGATTTGAATTAGCATTCATACATTTATAAGCTAGTTTTTTATAAATTTCAGGAGTTCCTTTTCCAAATTCTGGTCTGAGTCCATTACATATTTCTAATGCTAAGGTATTATCCTGTTTTATTTTATGAAATGGTGGTTTTCCAGATGATAATTCAGCCATAATTATACCAAAACTATAAATATCAGAAGATAATGAATATGGTTCTCCATTCAAAACTTCTGGGGCAATATATGGTAATACTCCACATATTTTATCATCCGATTTTTGTTTATTTGATGGTCCAGATAATCCAAAATCTGAAATATAAGTTTCATGATATATCTGTAATATATTTCCACTATGGAAATCTTTATGAAAATATCCTAAATCATGTAAACAATCAAGACCACGTGTTATCCAAAATAAATACATTAATTTATCTTTCCACAAAATATTATTGAAATTGTGTAAAAGAACACTTCTCAAATTTCCTTCATCTGCATATTCTGAAATTATTATAAGTTCTTCAGTTTCTGGATCTTTGGTCATTCCATAAAAACTTAGACCTACATCGTCTATTCGACATAATTCCCAAAGTATTTTAATCTATTATTTGTATTTAAATTAATTATTTCACTTATTATTAAAGAGGTTAATTAAAATATGTAAAATTAATACAAAACTTACCTCATTTAAATATTCAGCTGACATATTCTCTGATCCATTTAACCTTTTCAATGCAACTTTGTTAGATTCAGATTTATTTTTTTCCCATCTTTTATATCCTTTCCCATATATTTTTGGACCATCAATCCATGTTGCAGAATATACTTTGGAAAATCCACCTTCACCAATTTGGTTTATATCTTTAAATTTATCAAATGGTACCCATTCAAGAAATTTATCATTTTTCCTTTTATACATTGTATCTTTGATAAATTTATCAATTTCGTTATTTCCGCTGGTCCAACCTTCAATCATGCGATGAGGATCACATTCTTTACACCATAATACTTCGGTAAATGGTTTATTGCAATAAGAACAATTTTTCTGATCAATATTCATTGAATTAGAATCTTTGTCAAGGATGTTTAAATTATTGAATTCAAGTTCTATTTGAACTTGGGCTTCATTTCCTTTATTCATCTTTTTCAAAGTAGAAATTTCTGAGTAGAAATAAATTGTTGATATTGGCGCTATTTACGTTACTACCGGTATATATTATATTTTCAATGAGGATAAAAAAGGAAAAAAGAAATGAAATTCCAAATTAGAAAAATTAGAATCTAAATTTCGTATCACAGTAATACAGTAATACTGTAAGTTGATCAGATTTCTTGCTGCGACTAATAATGATTTCATATAGTAGATCGGCAGTCACGCTCTCTTTAGGAATTTATACTAGAATTATTTAGCGTGGATGCCACAACTTTGATTTTATGTTGGGTAAATTTATTTAATTATTAATTATCAGATTTCGTTACTAATAAAATTAATAAAGAAAAATAGAGCTCATATATAAGAATAATATAATTTAATTGTTATTATTATATTCCATATTCCATTAGAAAGACGAAAATAAATAAATAATTATAATATTTGAAATTTATATCATAAATATAAAATTTCAGCCATAAAAAATATAGAATTTACAAGAATTATAAAGAAAATTTTAACATAATAGAATATTAAATATTTTTAAAATTACTCAATAATAATAGAAGATTTACGTAATTCAATCAAATAAACTCAAAAAAAATAAAAGCGGATGTATAAGTCTACACAGGAATAAATACACAGCAAAAAAAAATTGTAAGAAGTGACACCAATTTTGTAAAAAATAATATTTCGAAAAAGGAAATGAAAAGATTACTATAATATTCAGATGCTTTAGAACCGGAAATATATATGGATATACGGATATAATAGAGTAACAATAGAATTAATGATAAGACAAATGAAATAATTAATGAAAATAAGTATTTAATTCTTTTCTTTTTCATAATATATTCTTTTATATAATATAACATATCATCTTGCCCAACTTCTTCTCGTGTTCCATTTATTATGTTACCAAATATTAATTTCTTGATAAAGTATTTTGAGATTTTTCAAAAATATTACAAAATCATCTGTATTTATTTATGTGAAATTACTGGTTAATCAATATGAAATGTGACGTTTGTATAAAATTTCTCTCATGTAAATTTCATTTTATGCATTTATTTTTTTTTCATTTAAAATTATATAAATGATAATATGATTGAAACTCTGTTAATGTTTCTGATTTATATTAGATATAAATTAAATAACTAAAAATTTTAAAATTTTGCCATCTGGTAAACTCATGTACTTTATTGTTATAAACTAGGGTTCTTTAAGACAATGTGAGTTTTATAATTATAAACAATTTTATATTGTGAACATTTATTATTCCAAAATGTTTTTAGCTATTTTATTATAAAATTTATTATTTTTATTATTCTAAATAAATAAGACATTAGAAAACATCAAGTTTGATAATTTCAATAAAAAAAAAATGTCTTTTCTTTTTTTATTTTTGATTTAAAATGTATTTTGATCAAAAAAAAAAAAATCAATTTTTTTTTTATTTTTTGATTAATCTATATAATTAAAAAAAACTTCAATGACAACAATATGTCTTGGTTTATATAATGATAATATAATCCAAAGGCTTTCAAATATTCACAAGCATTTTATAATAGTAGACTTTTTAAATTCCAAAAATCTTCCAAAACCAGTAAATTCTTCATTTTTTTTTCAATTTAGTTCAGGTAATCTAATTTAATTTTGCTTTATCATATAATCCATTTATACTATTAATGTTATTTGGTTTTTCTGATGTTGGTATAATTGATATTTATTAATTAAAATAAGTATTTTCTTAATTATTATTATAACACCTTTTTAGGAAATAGTTCTTTCCATGATTGGATACTTTCTGATATTATTATTATTTATTTATTTCCATTTATTAACATTTAAATACTATAAATATATATAAATATGCAGTTTCCCTATAAAAATTTTTTTCAGAAAAATGATCACGTGTCCAAGTTTCTTCGGAATGAAAACTAGAAAAATGATCATTTATCGGAGTTTTTTTCCAGAATTTTTTTACAAGGTTTAGAGTACATTAGGTAAGTAATTAATATTTCTAATGGATAAATCTAATTGTAACAGCCTGTTACGCGTCTTATTTGTAACAACCCCAATTTTATCCAATTAAAATTTAAGATAATGCTCATATCACTTATACATCAATATCTTGATAATTCTATGACATGACTGGTCTCTCGATTCTTACTAATTAAAGTATCAAAATTATGCTATAAAGTATAGTTGTACTCTTTTAGTAAAACAAAATCTACACCCTAAAATATTCAAGCTAACATTACAAAATTTAAGTTTTTACATACTGTACCTGTTGAAGAATTTTACTTATTTCTAAGATGCAGGGATTCAAAATTTACAAAATTAATAGGTAAACCAATAAGACCAACATGCCATTATCCTGATTCATTTTTACAAAAATATTTTATAATAAAATTTAGCATAATTCTCACATACTAGTTTGTAAATCGAAAAATAATAGCTCAAAATAAAATACTAGTTAGGTAGTGTAGCACGACTATTCATCTGAAAATATTTTTTACATGTAATATTTGAGATGTGGGATGTTTTTAATTTAAAATAAGAGAAAGTAATTGATAAATACACAGTATTATTTTTGGAATATCATGTATCTATGAATTTTAATTAATCGGTTTAATTCTGGCCCGTATTATATAACTCTGACCAGAATTATGATCCAAACAACTGCGGTCACGTGCTCAAGTTGAACTCTAATACCAATTTTTTAACAAAATAAATGAAATAGGATCTCCCTATAACTAAATATGTGAATAGACTCAGATGTAGTTAACGGTTTCTAAATTGCTTTCAACATGTCAAGCCATATATTATTATCGAATCAAATTACAACTTAATAACAAAAGATCTACAATAGTGTCACCTGTTAAGGTTTTACTAATTTACCGTACTGGAATGCTAATCATCTGGACTCTGCTTATAAATCATGTATGTGCTACAGTATTACAAAAATAATGTACAACCATATGACTTCTAATATAACTAGCCTCTCCAATAACTCTGTGAAAATTTTTTTTTTTCTTCCCAAATTTCTAATATGACTTTACCTTATTTAACAGATGATTGTATTTATTCCATTTTACAATACCTTCAAAATGATCATTCAACTTTATTTAAATGTTTATTAGTTAATAGATTTTGGTGCAGATCAACTATTCCTTTACTTTATGCAAATCCTTTTGCAGATATAACCAAAAAAAATTATTCAATAACCTTGACCTTAATTTTTTGCTTTAATAAAGCAGAAATTTTACAATTGAAGAAAAAACTGGGATTAAGCAAGATTAATGGTATTAATTTTTATAAAAAACATAACCCTTTATTCGAATATCCAAAATATTTGGAAAATTATAATAGTATTATAATAAATTCTGTTATTTATGGATGGTTTGATAAATATTGTTCAAAAGTTTTATTAAATAATCAAAAAATATATAATGATATTATTCCGATATTTCATCAATCAATTTTACGTCAAAGTAGAAACATTAAACAATTAGATATTTGGTTATATTTATTTAATGGAGAAAGTTTTAAAAACTTTAACGTTCAAAACTTCACTTCAAATTTAACAAAATTAAATTCATTATCATTAAATTTTCATTTGAGGGATTCTGTTTATAAAGAAATTGAACAAGAATTTTTAAATAATATAGCAAATAACTGTACAAATTTTAGAAAATTAATAATTAAGTTTCCTCGAGCTAAAAGTTCACCATTTCAACGTCGTTACATTTACTGTAATTATTTGACTAATATTACTCTCACTCCAAAAATTTGTACAATTATTCAAGTGCAAAACAATCTTAAAATGTTTAAGCTAGAAGGGAATTGTTCTTTATCAGTAGATAACATTCTTTTGTCTTTAGAATTTCAAAAGCATTCTTTAGTTCATGTTGAATTTATAGACACTGATTTTAGTAATGTAAATTTAAAAAGATTTAATGATTTATATAATTTAGAATATTTAAAATTTATGACTTGTGAAGGTATATTATTAAATCAATGTGAGGGATTAAATTTTTCTTCATCTAAGCTCAAGGAACTATTATTTATACACAATTATTGGGATGTTAATGTCATGCCTTTAATGATCAAATATCTAGGTGCATCATTACAAAGATTATTCGTTGAAAACCCGACAATTTCTCTTATTGAAAATATATCAATGTATTGTCCAAATCTTATTTTTTTAAAAATAAGTATTCATTCACATATTGATTTATCAGTGATACAACTTTTTAAAAATTTAAGAACAAGAATATTAAGTATTATTATTTCAAAAAATATTGATAAATTTTTTATAAATTTAGCAAATAATATACCTATTAATATTAGGGAAATTTCTATTTGTTCTCATCATACCGATAAGTTTAAGGAATTCTTAGAGAATTGTCATAATAGTTTTGAAATGATTAATTTAAATCAGATTATTAAATTAAAATTACTTAAAAATGTTTTAAATTATATTGAAAAAAGTAACAATAGTTTAAAAGTTCTTGGTATGAAATTGGATAAAGAATTGAATGATGAGGAATTAAAATTATTGAATCGAATTAAAGCTAAAGGAGTTGAAATAGTGGAATTTATAAAGGAGTTCCATTGCAAATCTTCAACTGATGACAAGTGACCTACAAATGGTATTTGATCCGCTGTAAAGTTTGATTGTGTCTTGATTGTGAGATAAATACTGTATGTTGCGTGATTATCTCCTGTTATCATTAAATCATATATGAAGGAAAGGAAAAATGAACACAAGAAATAAAATATCGCACCTTACCCAGGCAAGGAGGAAAGATAAAGGCTTGAAATAATTGATTATTATACTAATTTATATGTTAAGGTTCTTGAGATAGTATATTTTATTTATTTACAATTTTTATTTTATTTATTTTACTCATTAAATAAAGTCGAATTTTAAATCATTTATTTTAAACAAATGTTAACAATAATTTATTGCCATTTTTTTTTTTAAGAGCATAAATTAAATTATTATGATTTTTTTTTTTTCAAAAAAAAAAAATATTTTTATCATATATCGGGTGCGTTCACCGATCCATTTGGATTCTCACATATAAGAGGATTAGAAATTTTAATGTAAATAATAGCTTAAAATACATTGGAATTTTTATAAATCAGCTTATCAGCTTCTAAAGTTACTTTATCTCCATTAAAATTTTATGGAATGACCAAAGATCCTGCAGATCGAGGAACTATGAGAAGTGTTCTTTCACACAATTTCAATAATATTTTATGGAAAGTTAAAATTTTTTATTTACTTTATATAGCATATGGTCTAAACAAGTTACATGAATCAGGATATTTTCATAAAGATTTTCATAGTGGAAATATATTACTAGTAGATGATGTCACATCTTATATATATATATATATATTTCAGATTTTGGATTATCTGGACCATCAACCAAACAAAAATCTGGTGATAAAATATGTGGAGTAATGCCATATGTCGCACCAGAAGTGTTGAATGGAGAACCATATGCATTATCCTCGGATATTTATAGTTTTGGTATAATTATGATAGAATTATTATCCGGAAAACCACCTTTTTATAAAAGAAAACATGATACTACCTTAGCATTAGAAATATGTAATGGACTCAGACCAGAATTTGGGAAAGGAACTCCTGAAATTTATAAGAAACTAGCTTATAAATGTATGAATGCTAATTCAAATCAAAGACCAACAGCCAGTGAATTGCATGATATAATAGATTTTTGGTTCTTATCTTCTTATAATGATAATCGAGAAAAAGAAAAATTTGGATATAAAGAAAAAGAAATTAAAGCTATGTTTGAAGAAGCTAGTAAAGAAATACCAAACATTTCAACTTCGTATGAGAAAAATCCTGATGCTATATATACTAGCCGAGTATTTACACTTAGCAATTTAACAAAACCTGTTAATTCATCTATTATTACGTCATACCTTGATGAAGAAGGTATTATTTTTAGTAATTTTTAACCAAACTTTTAATATTCCTTAATTGCTAATATTATTACTTTTATAGATTGTAAAGATTCTAAATTATTTGACTTAGCTCATTACAATTAAAAGGTAGGTAATAGCAATATATAATTCATATGAATTATTATTCAATTATTCAAAACAATAGATGAAAGATGATGAATGATCACATTTAATTTATGGTAAAATTTATCTTTTTTTTTGTTATATTTTTATTTTTTTTAGAATTATACATTTAATAATCTATAGTTATTATGTAATACTGGGCAACATTATATGTAATTCTGATCATAATTTTATTTTTATTAAATAAAAATTTGAAGAAATTCAGTACATCGAAGATCTGTGATACGATAACGAAAAAAAAATTATTTTTAAAAATTTGCATTAATTTATCTATAATAAATTTTATACGTTTAGCACTACAATCATGTTATTATTATTTAACAACACGATTAATTATAAATTGATTAAATTATTTTCTTAAAAAAAAAATTTCTTTTTCATGGTCAATAAATTAAATATTTAAAGGGATCTTACAATAATTTATCGTTAAATAACCGAATTAAAATGGTAAATTATGTATAAATTTTGTTATCAACCGATTAAGAGGAAACCCAAATATGACTATTATGAATATTGTTTCAAATTGCTTTCAAACAATTAAACAATAGATTTTTGTAGACCGAAACGATTTAAAAAGAAATTATGTAATTTAATTAAAAAAAAATCAATGATATAGTGTTCGAATTAATTCTTCTACTTATGTGTCGTGTGCTAATTTCTTCGATCCCCGTTTGTAAATTTATACTATATAATCTCATAATCAGATTTTCTTTTATATTCATTGTATCAATTGTATTTGATATATTAGTCTTTATATTATATTATATCAATAAAATTTAATTTAAACAATTTTTTGAAAATTTCAATATCATTTTCGATGAAATCTAAAATATTCAAGATTTAAATACTACATGTAATCATTATTTTTACTGTTTAATTTTTCGATAATAAACCTTCATTCAATATCGGTCAAAATTATGATTTGTGTCATGTTTCTGTAAAAAGGTGACAAGAATTTACCAACTCTTGACTCTGAACCGTTGCAACCATTTATGGAATTTTGATTCCATATTTATTTTCATTGATTCTAAATTAACGAAAGTAATAATAAATAGGTAACAAGAGTATATAATTGCTTTGATTGTAGCGATAATTATATTACCATGCAATATTAGTATAGATTTAAGGATGGATTCAGATATAGCTGAATGGTTAACGAAGTATTCTGAAATAGGAAGTATGAGAAGAGAATTGGATGATAATCTTTATATATACTTGAATTTTCTCAATACAATATTAGAATTAAAGAATATGACGTTGAAGTTTTCACATAGAAAATCAGAAGTGATGGAAGATATGCAGGAGATTAAACTACCAGCTCTTAAGAAAGAATTAATCAAGTGTAAGGATTCGATTGAAGAAATTGTAATTAAATTAGACAATATGATAGTTGATGAATATTGTCTAAGATGGAATCATACACCAATAGAAGGAGCGTATAGAGAGTGGTTTAAAGAAATAAATAATAATATAACAAAAATTGATATCATATTATTAGACTATGTGAAAGATTGTTTTATTGAGACGAATGGAGCGAATATTTTGATTAATTGGAAGGAGACATTTAAATTGATAAATAACGAAATAATAATTTCTAAGAATACAACTAACAGAGAAGACGCGGGAATAAGAACGTGGCGTATTAAAAATTTTTTAAAGATCTTACCAACGTATGAGACGTTGTGGAAAAGAGGAGTTTGTGGAATAACAAATAGTAAATGTCCTCGATGCTCAATAGAAGACGAGACATGGGAACATATTTGGACATGCGATTCAAATAATTTTATGACAGAAATAAATATTTTTAATAGTAGTATTAATCAAGTTTTATTGGATAATCAAGACATGTTGGATGATGATATATCACGTAAAGAATTTATAGATACATTATTAAGTATAGCTTCAAGTCGCTCTTTTATAATGACAACGGAAGGTATAATTAGAGAAGTAACAAGAGGATTAATCAATGAGAAATGGTTAACTGTTTACAAAAACCATAAAGAACGAAAACTCGTTTTATTAATTCTTAACGAGTATTTAAATGAGGTTCATAAAAAGATTTGGATAGAGCGGTGCAACGAGACAATTGAATTAGAGAAACAAATGGGTATTTTTAAAGATACTAAACGAAAAAGGAATAAAAGTAATGATGATGGAAAAATACTGGATTTTGAGAAATTAGAAAAAACTAAAAACAGTAAAAAAATCAAAAAATTAGTAAAAATAGATTTAGAAGAACAAACAAAAAACGACGTATTTAGATTAGGAGATCATAATAGATTTAAAATAGCTAGTCAAGTAATTAGTAATTTAGTAAATACTTAGTTTATGAGAATATTTCGTGAATAGCACGCTGGTTACGATAGTTTACACTTTAGAAAGAATTCTAAAGTTTTTATATGGAGAGGTGTAGTTAGAAATAACTAGCTTCAATGTATTTTTTTGTATTTACTAGTTAATGTAATGCGTTATAATTTACTAATAAAATGAATAAAATACGTTTATAAAAATAAAAAAAAAAAAATAAATAGGTAACAAGAGAGAGATCGGCACTCATCTCTTCAGGGACAGAATTACGTATTACCTACTGCCTGGCATTATTCAAAAAAAGAAAGGATCTACACATTATTCAGATTTTCATGGAATAAAATATTATTGCTCGGCCCAATAACACTATTTTATTCTTTTATTAGGTAACTGATTTCTTTTTATTGATTTCATTGATTAGAATGGAAGCCCAATAACAAGTATGGTATATTATTTTCATTATTTTATTTCTTTATTTAGAATTCTAGTTCCATTTTAATCCTCATAAATTTAATTGATTATAAATACGCTTACAGTAATAACGTAAATAAATTTCTATCGCAAATATACGAAAAACAATAACAATAAAAATAAATCTAAAATCTTCAAAGATAAGATGAATAAAGAAAATGAAACTCGAGTTTCAACAGAATCTAAAGAATTAAATATTTCCGATAAAAATTCTAACATCAACCTTGAAAATTGTTGTTATTATTGTAATAAACCATTTATCAAAGAATTATGGTGTGAAGAATGTGACCCATTTAGAATGGTTGAAGGTTGGACCAGTGGAAATAATGATATTGATAGATTTTATCAAAGATACAATTTATTACGTAAAAAATGATGAGAGATTTCTTAAATGGATAACATTTGATAAATTTGAAGATATAAAGCAAGTTGGTGAAGGCGCATTTTCCAAAGTATATTCTGCAATATGGAATAATGGCAAAACAAAATATTCTAAACAAGATGATGGAAGTTGGAAAAAAGAAGAATCAAATCCTATAAAGGTTGCTTTGAAAAAGTTAAATGGATCACAAAATATGTTAGATGAACATTTAAATGAGGTACGTTTTGTTATTAGGATATCTAATTTTTTTTGTTAATAAGTCTGCCCTTAATATAGCGAACTCCGACACGTGAAATTAAGTCAAATTTGTAAGAAAATTCTTTCGTTATTTCTCCTAATTCTATTACAACGAACTTGAGGATAATCGCTATATCGAAGACAAACTGTGACAATGATTAATGATAATTTAAAAATTTTCTATTAACGTTAATGATTTTCGGTACCTTAAATTTATAGCTTAAAGTACATTGTAATTCAAGTAGAACCTCATTAACTTTTCATGGAATGACTAAAGATCCAGATCCAAAAGAATTTATGATGGTTTTAAAATTTGCAAATCAAGGAAATTTGAGAAGTTTTCTCTCAAATAATTTTAACAGCATTTTATGGAAAGATAAAATTAATTATTTGTATTGTTTAATATATGATCTTGAAAATTTACATAATATTGGATATTATCATAAAAATTTACATAGTGGAAATATATTACAAATAGATAATATACCTTATATTTCAGATTTTAGAATATCTGAACCATCATTTAAACAAAAATCTGATGATAAAATATGTGGAGTATTACCATATATTGCCCCGGAAGTTTTGAATGGAGAATCATATACATTATTATCTGATATTTATAGTTTTGGTGTAATTATGGCTGAATTATCAACTGGAAAACCACCTTTTTATAATAGAATTAGAAATATATAATGGGCTTAGACCAGAATTTGGAAAAGGAACTCCTGAAATTTATAAGGAACTAGCTTACAAATGTATGAATGCTGATTTAAATCAAAGACCAACAGCCAATGAATTGCGTAATATTTTAATTTTTTGGTACTGTTCTTCTCACGGTGATAAAGAATTTCAAGAAGAAAAAAAATTTGGATATAAGGAAAAGATATTAGGGCTATGTTTGAAGAAGCTGATAAAGAAATACCAAATATTTCAACTTCATATGAGAAAAGTCCTGATGCTATATATACTAGTAGATTATTTACATTTAATAATTTAACAAAACCTGTTAATTCATCTCTTATTACATCATACCTTGATGAAGAATAAAATAATAAAGGTACTATGTTTGGTAATATATTTAATTTAACAATTATTCAATTTCATGATTACTGATTTTATTTCTTTTATATACTGTCAAGATTCTCAATTATTAAAAGGTAGGTAAAAATGATAATATGCAATACATTATATAAATTAATTAATTTATATTAATTTTATTTATTTATTTATTTATTTATTTTTTAAAACTGTAACGCATCTTTATTTGGATGTATTAGAAATAAGTTACATAATCCACAACAAATGATACTTAGAGCTGACCGTGCAAATCACGTGTCAACCCTATAACAGAGTAAGAACAAAAGACACATTACAAAATAATATAAAAATAAATACTTACTACTTGTCCCTACCACCTATTGTCGTCTATCCAAATACACTAAACTAGTCAAATTCATGATGGATAATGTTAACCTAAGATACATATGTGTAAAGATATTAGGCTACGACTACACCAACTCTCTGGGTCTAGTAAAACTAAGTCTAATCTAATCTCTACTATATCCCAAATTATGTTTCTAATCCTGCGAAAAATTTGACATAAAAGAAAAGAAAAAATTTAATTCTAGTAAAACAAATAATCTATCTAAAATTTTGGTATCGGGAAAAATTTTATACGTGAAAGTAAGTTCACGTGACTTCGATTGGATATATTATATGTTACTTATTTTCTATAATTCCTTTTCTTTTTCTTCTTTTGCGTCGTCTTCTTTTTGGCCTTCGTCGAGCTCTCTTCCTTTTCTGACTCGATAACGTAAGGCTTGATTTCTTCTGCCTCTTCTTCCGATTCCGATTCACTTGATTCGCTTTTCTTTGGTGAATCAAAGATCGGCCTCTTGTCTCCAACTTCTCTCTTGTCCTGATATCTGTTTTCATCTTTCAATCTTTGTCCGAATTCGTCGTTTAGCGTCGTATATTCTCTCATTATTGCGTTTTGTTCCGCTAAACTGATGAGTTTTTGTCCTATTCGGAAAAAATTATTTGTTTTTTTCCAATTGTTGTGTTCAAGTTCATGCAGTTCTTTGCATATTAATTTTATTTATGTATGATATTAATAATGAATATGTCGAGTATATTTACTTTGTGATAAAACTTATCTTTTTTTTTTTAGAACTATTGGTTTGGTTTATTTATATCAAATATTTATCAATTTGTAATTACGTAGTATGTAGTGTTGGTCAACATTTCCGGAGAATGAGTGATAAATTATGGAGTTACAATGTTTTTCAACTTGAAATTTAAAACACTCGTTAGGAGATTTTAATTTCTAATAATTTAAACGAATTTTACTGTATATTATTATAGCGACAATGCAGCACGCCGACGAAAGTTAAAATCGTTTCAGTTTCTATTAGTTATTAGTAATATATATGATATATGCATTTATTTTTATTTAACTATTAAAATTTCATAGTCAATGAACTTATATGAAATAAAATCTTATAGCAATCTATCGTGAATCAACTGAATTAATATAACTAAGAAATTGGATGGTAAATTAGGAAATATACAATACTATATATACAGTTTGATTGCGAAATCCAGATATACATATTTGTATAAACATTTTTTATTTTAACAAAAGACTTTTTTAGACCGTGATAATTGGTGTACTTATTTGTTAATCATCTTTTTTCTTTTATATTAATAAAATCAATTGTAGCTTTATGACTTATAAAATTTGTAATATGAAAAGTTATATTATTAAATTTAGAGATAGGAGACAAAAAGTGTAAATAAAATAAAAAATAATGTACGGACGTACGGTACGTTTCGCCGAATGGACATTTTGTCGAATTCTTTCCACCGAAACGTCCATTTCGTCGAAAGACATTTCGCCAAAATGTTGTTGATTAATATGATATTTCCTTAATACAATTCGATAAATTTGATACAAAGGAAATAAAAATTGTTCAAAGAACAATTATCTCTATTTTATTTTCCTTGTTTCGGAAAATTGATGAACACGATGTTGTCAAATAAAACTAATTTTCTTTTAATTAAAAAAAAACAAACGCGACTTAAAATATATTTGTTTGCCTTTTCTAAAAAAAGAAAAGGAAAACTTAAAAATTTCATAACTTCGCCAAAATGCCCCTTCGTCGAAATGGCTTCTACGAAATGTCTTTCAGCAAAAATGGCCATTCGATTCAGGAAAATGGAATTTCAGGGAAACGGCACTTGCGATAAAACATCCCTTCGGCGAAATTACATCGGCGAAATGGTATACTAAAATAATTTATATCGTTAATTTCAATCAAAATGGAGTAAGAATGGGAGAATTCTTAAATATTAATGAATTTGCGTGGTAAGATTAGTTAATACTACACATAATTGTTTGGCAAACAATTAATTCTGTTTTTTTGATATTAAACCTGAGATATTAAAAGTTTAAATTAATTGAATAACTTTGAGATTTTGAAAAAAGCGAAACTTATAACTGTTATACCAATTTTCGTTTTTTTTACATATAACAAAATTATTTCTTTCTTTATTTTTTTTGTAGGACTAGGGCGCCGGACTCTCGGAAACGAAACGAACCCGGACTTGGATAATGTAAGGAATAGGGAGGGGGAATTTTTTTTTAATATTGAAGAAACGTACCAACGTTTCTTTCTTTATTTTTTTTGTAGGACTAGGGCGCCGGACTCTTGGAAACGAAACAAACCCGGACTTGGATAATGTAAGGATTAGGGAGGGGGAATTTTTTTTAATATTGAAGAAACGTACTAATGTTTCTTTTTTTTTTGACCTTTGTAGGTTTTGGCTTCTTTGAATTCTTCTATAATGCGTGGTAAGTGTATATGCAGATTTTCTTTTGATATTTGCTTGAAAAGGCATCATTACTAATATTTCTATTTATTTTAATTTTAATAGTTGTTTATTGGAATCGAACCAACTGGAACAATGTTCCAAACCATTAACAATAAATTAACCATTTTTATTATCCCTTAACCTATTTGACATTCTATAAGTTATGAATTAAATCTTATATGTTTAGCTAATAAAACTAACCATACATACATTATTATCAGTTACTGTAAATACTACATAAATCAATTAACTGGCGGTGACGAAGTCACCGCACATCAACCTAATCTGGTTTACATTAATTACGGAAAAAATAATTTAATAAAAAACAATATCAAATGCAATAAATTATTTGGACTTTTTTCCGGTAGTAGTTTTAATTTTACGCTTTTTGACGGCTTTGGGTATTTTATTCTTTCTTTTTTCTCTTGCCACTTCTTTCGCAGCTTTCTTCCGCTCCTAAAACAAGTATAAATGTAACGTAAATCATCAAATATGGTATTGTACTCAAATATAATAAACAAATCCGTACTTTTTTAGATTCTTTGTCTTCATTTCGTTTTCCTCTAGATTGTTTCTTAAACACATCATCATCTTCACTCTCTTCATCTCCCTCACTTTCTTTTTCTTCATCTTGATCATCCTCTTCACTTTCATCATCTTTAGTAGAAATAGATGAAATGTTTTCTGAATTTGCCATCACTTCATTTTCACTTGGTATTTTTTCAGGTTTATCGTCAATAGAAAGTCCAGTAAGTTTTCGATAAATCAACTAAACAAACAAGGGAAGTTAATAAAAGTAACAAAATAATTACAAAAATAATTTAATTATTTTGCTTTACTCACATCCTCACCTTCGCCTTTTGAAACTTTTAAAGTATCTCTTTCAACATCAAATACATCGTCCAAGGTTCTCGGAATAAAGGCTTTCTTGAAAACCTCTTCATCAACTAAATCTTTAGACATTTTATCAATATCCTCATTTAACGTAATTGATAATTCCTTTTGAGAAGCTAATCGTTCTTGAATCTAAAAAAGAAAAATATATATGTAATTTTTAAATAAAAATCATTCGTTAATAGCAGCTCACATTAACATATTGAAAAATTTACCTTATCGAGTTCGGCCTCAACTTGCTCATCATCTAATCCAATATTAATATCAGTAATAAAATCAAATAATTCTCTGATACTCATAACTCTTACACCTTTTCTTTTGAAATATCCTGTGACATTTGAAATATCTTTCCTTAAAAATTCAAGAGCATGTGGATGATCATGTTCTACTGATTGAGATACATCAATAATATATAAAACACGCGAATGATACCTATGATAATTAAAAACGTTAATTAAGAAAAATTTTTAAATTGTTTGCGAAAACAAATTTCTTTTTAACTTACAAGAGATTATATTCGCTCAAATCAGCATGAACCAGACGACATTTATGATACATTGTTCTCATATTCTTTATAAGTTGATAATATAGCTCTGGATATTTATCAGAATTAATAACTGCATCTTTTAATCTTGGATATGCCCTTAAAAATAAGAATTTTTTTAAAAAAAAAATTTAAATTTTTTTTTTTTTTTTTTTTTTAAAGAATATTCAATTTTAAATTAGTACGTACCAACCATTTTTATCTCCAAGAAAACTCATAACTAAAACATGTAGCCTTAAAACAAGAGGTTCGGGACATGGAATACCGACTTGCCATAATCTCTTTAAATTCCTCATTTCTTTTTCCGCCCATAATTTAACCATTTTTCTTGGATTATGTTTACTATAACCATGTCTAAATCTAAATTCTCCTGTAACGTAACGATCTCTATCTTTAAACACTAAAATTGAAGTTTTATAAACTTTTATGGCCCTATGATTTCCATCTTCTGTTATTGCATGATAAACATTTGCCTAAATAATTTGTACACACCCATTTACTTCATAAATTACGTTGCGATTAATCATCTTAAAAAGAATTATCCTCGTTCGAGGATCTAACACTTGCTCTACAGTAGCACGATCTGATTTATCACTATTCTTTTGTCTTCAAAAAAAATATATATTTTTACGTTAACAATAATTCATCAAATTAAAAGAACTATTATTTTAAATAAGTATTACTTACTTATCACCAAGAGCTTTTTTGTTGCTCATCTTGATGTCATTAGTTACAGAAACAGATAATTTACCATCTGAAATTTCATCTTTTAAGAAAGGAAATTTTTGGATTAATAAAAAGAATATAAATTCAATAACGAAATCTTTTTTTTTTTTCCTATAAAATACATACCAAGATGAATCCTGTTTGCATATTTACTCAAAATTTTCAATTGTTCTTGTAATTTAGTTTCATTAACTTTTTTTCTAGCTTCATCAGATACACCTCTACCAGCTGATAATGAACTTCCCTTAGAAGGTCCTTTTTGATATTTTATTGATCCAGATGATGTACCGCCAGCTTGTAATTTTTGTCTTAATCGATTGTACTGTTTAGTAAAATCTTTTTAATAAAAACGATAATTTAACTTTGTATTATCTTTAGATATAAAAACAAAACTTCAAATATTTATACTTATGATTTACCTCCTGTTGCGTTATCCCATTCTTCATTATCGTTCAACTCATCTTCAAAATAATCATCAAAGTCACCATCGTCATCATAATCAAATTCTTCATTATAATTAAATTTTTCTTCAATATTTTTTTTTAATTCATTATTTATTTGTTGTTCATCTTGTTCATCTTCAGGTGCGTCATCAAATTGTCCTGGTACATAGTTAGGAGTATAAATTATATCTGGCATATTCTGAAATCGTGTGAAAAAGTTTAAAAAGTTTGAAAGAAAAAAAAAATTTTTTTTTTTGATGATCATTAAATTATCAATTTATATTAATGTTGATCTTTTTTTACTACGTCATAATTTTTTGATAACAATGATGTAATGTCGGCAAGGATCGTTGAAAAGGAAAAAATTCTTTGAATATATTGTATATATATTTTTTTTTATCGTAGTAGTTGCCACGAATTCATTTTTATTAACCTTTCAGTTAACATGACATACAGTAGATTGAAGAAGAACTAAAATTCTCGGAATGTCACTGGATTGAAATTAATTCTTCCTGTTAATCACCCCGTGTTTTATAAAGTCACGATATAACTTTTCAAAACTATGCAGATTATGACTCGAACTTGTCACGTTTTGGAATGAAGAATTTTCTTTTAAATCAAGTGATTATAGAATGTAGCATTTTATAATTTTCTTTTTTTATTTAACATATTTAAATTTTGCAACTTAAAATTTTTAAAACACAAGTAGAAAATTGTACAATTAAAACATCTAAAACTATTTACTTATTTTCAATTGATTTTGGGTAAAAAAAAAATATAAAGCATAATGTTCAAAAAAATTAACAGATACAGATCAAAATTACATTACAATTACTAATGACTAAAAAGACAAAAAAAAAGTCGCCAGCGAATTTTTATGTATTTTGCTTCTCACTTCCTTACTTCCTCACTTCACTTTTATGTATATTTCACCTTATACATCATCATACAGTTATAGCAAGTTTTAACTAGCTCGTTTCCAAAATTCCATGAGTTAGTGGTTGATTTTTTGAAACACATATCACATTCGCGATACCAAATTGGTTTTGGTTTCATTTTTCTAATGGTATAAATCCTCTCGCACACGCCATTCTTTTGTTTTTTGAGATAAGGATGGGTATTATTTCGTGATCTACGCCAAGCTCGGTCTATATAAACGCTTCCACCGTCAGTAAGCCAATCATACCATTTCTGACATGTTAATGATAAGGCAAGAGCAGTTTCTTGCGTTGCATATTCTACTATCTTAATGAATATTTCTAATGGAAGGTTCATAGCAACACATTTCGGCTCTTCCTTATTCTTTTGATCCTGCTTAGCAAATGAAGAAGAAAAGATTGGACTAAATTTAAGATCATAACGATCTTGTTTAGCAATCTCAATTGGTCGTTGCTTCTTGGCAATTCTCTCAGCCTTTGCTTTTTCTTTGTAATATTTTTTAGTTACTTCTCTTCTCATCAATTTGGTATATTCATCTATTCATATAAGAATATATAGGCTTTAATGGTAAAAATTTCAATGAATAAATTTAAACCATGTATGTAAATACCTTCGATGGAAGTAGAAGCAGACTGAAAACGAGAGACTATTATTATTAGTTAGTATAGAAAGAGTAATAGAAAATTACTAATTTATTATTTACTTTTCATACTATAAGTTCTTACCGGATATGTTCTTATTTTTTCTTTTTCTTTTTTTTTTACCAAATTTCTTAGTTTTTAAATCAAAAGAATTTTTAGTCCGGATAGGAAAAGATACCTGCGAGTGTGAGATCATCGTTCTAGAAGTCAAAATGTGAGCGATAAATAATTAAAATAATTATATATAGATAAATACGCTATTCCATAATGAACAACATATTTATCGATCATCGTTTTGTTTATACATGTATTATAAAAACAAAAATGAGGTTCTTACCAAAAAAGCAAAAAGTTGAGTTTATAACAAAAAAAAAAAAAAAAAAAAACAAATTTATTACTACCCAACCAAATTATTTGTAAATTTCCTTCAGTATTTTGAATAATTTTAATAAGAAAAANATAACGAATTTCTGCGCCTGGTAAACTTTGATGATAATCATATGATGTAATACTTTATATTTAATAATTTGTATCTAGTTTATTCCATTTATGTGTCTATATTACTAACTACAGTACATAATTCTATATTAAATCATTCCTTTGTAATCATTCATAAAATTATAATTTTTATCTGGTTTAAATTTCTTAATAATTCCTTCCTTTTTATATAATTCAATCATATCATTAAATTTATCCATATGATTATATTTAGTATTGACTGAATATAAACATAATGATTTTCGATTTCTCCAATTATTTAAAAATGAATCCAAAGATTTAATTTCAAATTTACAATAATCAAGTTCTAATTTATGTAAATTAATTGGGGAATATTCTTTTAAAATATTTAATAATTCATCACCACGATAATTTAAATATAGATTATCAGTATAAATTACTATTCCTTCTAATAAAGAACAATTAATTAATAATTGTTTAAAATCTTCAAGATAATAATCTTTTAAAAATATTTTAAGATATTTAAGATTAGGACAATGTTGTGATATTGTTCGAATAAGTTGACCATTTTGATCTACATTCTCAAATTTATTACTACCCAACCAAATTATTTGTAAATTTCCTTCAGTATTTTGAATAATTTTAATAAGAAAAAATTTATTTATCGCATGGTGCGAAAAAAATTATTTATCACACTTATTATATCACGTGATATGTTGTTATATTATTATTCGCATTGCATTTATTATATTTTATTACATATTATATTACTACATATTATAACCAAATAAAATGAAAAAGCTATTAAAGACTTATACATTTTTTTTACCCTTTAACTACTTTTTTTATTAGGACATTTAGGAGCATAATGTCCAGTTTTATGACATAAACCACATCTACGCCCACTTGTGTTATTACTATTATCATTCATGTTTTCAATATCTATCTCATATACATTTTCTTTTTGATTCTTACTACTATTTGCTTTGTTTTTGCCCTCATCATAAGCTTTAAATCTTTTACCAGCGGGTCTACCTTTACCTTGACGTTTTATTGGATCTTTGATACTATTTATATCATAAACTCGTCCATCAGATAATTTCATTTCATTACCAAAATTTATATTTTCATTAAGAATATTTCTTCCTTCTAATTCGGATTGTGCTTTAGCATTCAATTTTGCTTCCTTCTCAGAAATATATGCTAAAAGAATATCATCCAGATTATTTTGATCATTATCGTCTAATGAATAATTTAAAGCTTGCTTAAAATGTCCCATAAGCCGACCATATTCAATTTTTTTTTGCGTACAATGTCGAACCCGAATTTCCTGAATGTTGTCATGATGTTTAGGAATAAAATCAGCTGGTTGATAATAATCTAATTGGTTTGAATTTTTTGAAGACACTCCAATAAATGGTTCCTTGGAAATAGAATCTATACAGTTCCAAAAATCATCTTGAAGCCATCTCATTGGCATTAACATTAAATGAAATAAAGCAGCTGAATTTTCAATCATCAATTTGAAGTAATGACGACACACAATTCCATGAGATACTAATAATAAGCATGTGCACAAATGAGTTCCATCATTAAGAATGACAATATGTTGATACGAAGTTGGAAACATGTAAGGAACAATTGTCCATACTTCTTTTATTAATTCTTTTGACACTGAATTTAATAATGACTTCAAATATGTCTGCCGATAGTCATAATGATCTTCAACATTTTCAACTTCTTTCAAATAACATTCAGAATGACCAACATTTACAGTATCTTCACCTTGATCATTATCGTTCATAAGCTCAGTTTGATCCTAAAAATAAAGCAATTGAAATTAATATTTTCAATTCTAAATCTAATTAACAATCTTAACCCCAACCCTAACCCTAATCCTAACCTTAAGCAACCCTAACAAACCCTAACTAACTAACCCTAACTAACCCTAACTAACCTAACTAACCCTAACTAACCCTAACCCTAACCTAACCCTAACCCTAAACTAACCCTAATTTCAGTTTATACTTACCGATTGGTCTTCAATGAATTCAAAAGCATCGTCAATGGATTGTTTTTCGCATCTATATAGTACTGATTCACACATTTGTTTTTGTATTTCATTGACAATTCGTGGTGAAAAATATTTCTGTATGGTCCTATTAATACTACTAAAGAAACTATCAACAACAAATGGTTGATGATATATTGTTGATTTATATTTCCATGCTAAAAAGTCTTTATTCATTTCTTCTCTCTGCATTCTAGAATCAAGAGCTTCAACTACATCAGCCATAGTAGAACTAGAAGAAACAGCTTTATGAATAATTGCATTAATTGATTCAACTCGCTGTGTTGATTGCATACCAGCTGTAAATCTTCGACTTATGAATGCACATGCCCAAGAATGACGTGTTGAGTAAATTGGATTATTCAAATATTCATTAGCAGTAGGATAATTTTCCAATAGAGCTTGAAATCTTTGCTCAAAAATATTTTCACATAAAGAATTACGCATACACCAAAAATCATGAACAAACTGCTTAAAATTTACAGAACCAAGCTTAGATTTAAGTCTTTTTGGCAAATTTTGTGACATATGCCATATGCAATGAATATGATAAGTATTTTTGTATACAATGCTGCATGCCGCGTCCATAGCTGGATCCATGTCAGTTAATATAACTTTTGGCTCCAAACCCGTTGCATCTAGTGTTTGTTGTAAGACCCACTCATAGCTTTCCTGTGTTTCATCAGTTAAAAAGGCTTGAGCACCTAAGCGTGATTTTCCATTATTGTCAACAATTATAAACAAAGATAATGGGAAATTATATTTGTTAGTTCTAGAAGTATTATCATGCAACACAACGTCTGAATAATGTGACCATAATACAATCTGATTTGCAGTCATCCAAAATATACCACACAATCTATTACTATCTACATTAATTAATGGTTGCACAAACATCATCTGATCTTCCTTTTGTTGATCAAGGAGAAATTTTAACAAGTGAGATGCATCTGACCCAATAACTCTTTTGTCACGTTTAATCTTTTGAATTGCGTTTGACAGATCTTGAGTAAGAAAAAGTTGCTCAGGAAATAATGGCTGCAACAAATTTCTTATTGTATATGCATCACATCTACCATGTACAACAGCACGCTCAATTTCAGCTAATATAGGTTGATCAAACTTTCGAAATTTTGTGGCAAATCTAGCATTATCTGCAAGTATTTCATGGTTGTGCTCTAAGTTCAAAAAGGTTATATGAATAAACCCACCATTTTCGGATAAATTGATATGCCACTTGCAACCTGTTTTTTTAGATCCTTTATTACGTTGTTGGTCCAATGGTTTTGTTTTCTTAGACTTATACTTTCCACTATACTCACAGGAAAATGTTCTTTTTTTTACAGGTCGTTCAGATGAAGTGGAAGCAGTACTATGGTAATATTCAACTCGATAACGATTAACAACAAAGCCTTTCTGTCTTCCATACTCTTTTATATAATGTTCAGCAATAGCCCAGGATGGAAAACTTGAACCAATAGCTAATTCCACAGGTTGAGTTAATAAAGGATATTTAGTAGGTTCTAAAGATTCTAAATCTGAACCTAAAATAGTGGCTATGAAAGGAGAGGATTCATTTTCAACGAAATCTAGACCAATTTCTTCTAAATTTTCAATAGAACAAGGAGTATTATTTTCGAACACCTCTGAAACTATATAATAAAGACTATTAATTAGTCTCTGAGCTATATATACAATGCAAGAAATAAAGTAACTAACTTTGATTAAGTTCTTCATAATCGTTCAAAATAAAACTGCTATCTGTAAGTAAAAAAAGTCCGTTTGAATGATTTAAAAAATTCTGGTATACTGTATTCTTGAACGAAAAGAAATATACCTTGAGTTACGCTAACATCCATTTTTAGACTCGTACGATAAGGAGAGGAAAAAAATGATCATTACTAAAAGCAACAATTTATACTATTAATATAGTTACACTATCAATAGTTTATTATTACGTAATTATAACGTATATATTACTTAATATCACGTGATAAATTTAATGATGCGATATCATCGCATATGCGATATATAAATTTTCTCTTTTAATAATTATAGAAAATGATATTGAACATAATTGTAAGATTTGTAATTTAGGGTAAAATGAAGAAATAAATTGTTTATCTAAATCTAATCTATAAAATAAACTTCCATGTAAAATTAATTTTTTTAAATTAATTAATTTTTGTAATAAAATATTTATAAAATTTATATTATTTTCAATTGTTAAATCTAAATAATTAATAGTTGTTGAATGTTTCATAATTGCTTGATAAATTAATATATCATCATCTTCTATCATATAAAAAATTTTTATATATTTCACTTTTAATTGTGACTCAATTAATTTTGTGAGTTCAATATTTGAATTTGTATATATGATGATAAATTTTTGAATAAATTTACATATTTGAGTCAATTTATTAAAAAGTAATGGATTATCATTACTTTTACATTGTAATTCTTGAATTTTTGAAATTTTGATTTCTTCTTCTGGATATTTATAAAAAGGTTGTAAAATTCCAATAATATCCAAAAATTTAATATTTGAACTTTTAATCATAAAAATCTTATAAATTTCTTGTATTATTAAATTTCGTTGATCATTATTATAAAAATGAAAAATTTCATCATAAATATTACTTCCATTTTTAAAATAAATTCTATGTTTAATATATTTAGAAAAAGTTAAATAATCAAATAATAAAGTATTTTTTTGAAAATTTAATTTTTTAAATAAATTAATCCCTTGATTTTCCAAATAATTTCTTGATTCTTTTGATAAATGTAATAAAATAATATTTAAAAGTAATTTTGAATTTTTAAAAAAAATTTCTTCATTATTTATTTTTGATAATATAAACCAAGGATCTTTCCAAATTATTGGTATTACTATTCTACACCATATTCTATTAACTAATAAACATGAGAATAAAGAATTATGCTTACTCTCATATAATTTTTCAATTATTAAAGTAAGACAATCTTGATTTAGAATCATTTTTCGTTTAAAAATTTATTATTTATTATGAATTATATCGTACTTATACCATACATATATATATTAAAAGAATAGTATTTGGATGTTATTTGGATGAAGCAATAAGCACAAATTATGACGAAACTTATTAAAACAAACAAGTGTCGTTGTTTGAGAGTTGAGACGATCATTTCGCGATTTAACCTAAATATTCGTAATTTTTTTTATGCAATGACTAAAATGTAATTATGTAATTATGTAATTGCACTATCCCGTTTCATTCATGATTTATTTTCTATATAAGGTAAAAACAGAATATTCGATGTCATTAACGTTAACAAACAATAACAATTATTACATGCAGTTATACCACTTTAAAAAAGGATAATTTTAATATGATCTGCATGGATGTGACACTATCAAATGACAAGTCCTTTTATCTGTCGTTGATTTTTTTTTTTCTTTTTCGAAATTTCTTTAATAAAAGTGACACAAAAATGAAAAAATATCCATACGGATATATGGAAAATTACATAACTAGTTGTACCACAAACTATTATTAAATGTCCGTTAATGTCCGATGTCAGCCAATCTTTTCATTCAAAATCAATCCCGATTTGTTGTACATCGTATTTCGGAACTTAAAAAGAAGTGCATAATATGCATGAATTCGGGACGTTATCAAACGTTACAGATGTTGAGACGGAACCTTTTCTCATGTAAGGTTACATATTATCAAAGTATTTTTTCTATAGATACTGTTATATTAAATGTAATAATTAAGGGAAATTTAAAGATATTGTTTAGTTGATTAGGAATATGCGAGATTTTAATGACCGATATTTTTATGCCCTACGAAAAAAGAATGTCCGGAATTTGTCACCAAAACTGTTCGGAAATTGTCCAGTATACCTATAAAATGTCTGGAAAATGTCCGGAATTATGAAAAATATGGTGTCCGGAATTTTTTGAAGTCCGGAATTTGAAAAAATTCAGGACAAATTTCGGATAGACAAAACTGGACAAATTCTGGACACAAAAAATCCTGGACATATTTTGGACAATCTCTGGACAAAAAAAACCGGACAAATTCTGGTAGTTAGACGAGAAAAAATTCCAGGCAAATTCTGGACAATAAAAAATCAAAAAATGTAAAAAGCAAAAAACTGGTATTCAAAACCTTTGCGTGTATACTAAGTAAACTTAAAGAACAAGCAAAAATACTATCTATGATGTTAATTTGAACTGCTATAAACAGTTATCAGTTAGGTATTTGTATAAGAAATATATCATTGATATCATGACTTGCAGATCATTTCAGAGAAAATTTTTTTTCCGGACAAATTCCAAATCTGGACAAATTTCGGACAAAAATCAATGTCCGGAAAATGTTCCAAATCTTGCGCGTTTTCGTATGTTTTCAGGACACTCATTTTGTCCGGAATTTGTACAATTATATTCCGGACAATTTCAGAATATTTTCCGGACGCATTTTTTTCGTAGGGATGAGACATCCAATATTGAAAACGTTATTAGTAACATTAATTCCTATTGGCCACCGCAGTATTCCTAATGACTGACAGTTATTGGATGGGGGATATCGGTCTTTCTTTTCCCCCATCCAATAACTCTTTAATATGGATCACGATCTAATTTAAGTTTTAAAAAAAATTCCGGAAAATTCCCCTGAAAATATTATTAAAATACCATGAATTTACTCACAATATCCCGAAACATGATATTTCAGCGTATTTTATAATCTGAAATATCCACAATATACATAAACGATGTTAGTCCTTATAGAGAAAGTTGTTCAAATTTTCAAAAAGGGTTTTCAAAAGGATTTAATTTAAAGTAACAACTTTTTTTAATCATCTGAGAATTTTTAATACAATTAATAAATGTCGTTAAAATTCAGGTTATATTAAAAGTATAGATAAAATCCTTTAGATTTATCAAAGAAGGCACGAAACTGACGAAAGTAAGATCGTTATCAACTTTTTCTCGTCTGGTCAACTTTTATAATCAAAAGCATTTGTTAATAAATTTAAATAATGGCGAGTGATTTTGGTACATGTACATGTAAATCTTTTATGTAAATCTTTTTTCAAGCAAAAACACGTAATTTTTGAAATCAATTTATATAATTATACGATCGGTCGTAAGTCGTAACAACTTGATACAGTATTTATGCTTTTGTAACGCAAATGATCCTTAACGTTGTATGTCGGCCAATTTGACATTTTTGTTTTTTTCTTTCTTTAGAATAGTATAATGGGCGTTATATAATAAAATGTAGTTATTATGGAAGGTGCTAAGAGTTGATTCTTTTTAATATTACCAGTTACAGTCCGATAAAGTACGGCCATCTTCCAATTGTTTACCAGCGAAGATCAAGCGTTTCTGGGGGGGACTTCAGATTAATGATCAGTATTCCTCCCATCCTATTTATATATATTAGTAATAGTCCGAAGTGTAACGAAAGACTATATTATATATTTCTACACAAAGGTAACACGAAATGTCCCAATGTCTGGTCTTTGATGTTTTAAAAGTCAAAGAATTTGTTTATTGGTTTAAAATCTTATCATAAAAAAACGTATTATTTAATAAAATTATTAATTTTAAAATAGCCAATTAAATAATTTTACAGTACTTTGTACTTTTTTTTTTTGACGTAAAAAAATTTCTATTTTTATTTTTTTTTTTTTTTTT